AAATTATAGCAACCTATAAGAACACATGGGTCAATAAACCTAATTATAAAAGAGTTAAATGTAAATTACACTCATGATAGGATGAAACAGATTGAGATTATTGTCTATAACTTTTCTTTAGTTCTAAGGCAGATGATAGTTATGCCTGGTTGGGATTAGAACTTTAGCTAACTTTTGAGACAATTGTACACATTAACTTTATAAAAGCAGCTTAAGAACCATCCTAAAGACATCTAAACACACACAGACATACAGATGTTACAACCGAGGCATGCCAAAGAATATGAGTGCATATAATGAGCTCAAAAAAGTAAAAATCCACAATTGGTAGTATACAAAAACATATACAGAAAACACAATGACACACAAAACAATTGGATTAATTCAGAGTGCACACAAACCATTTCTTTGACGTTATCTTTAGAAGATTAGTCAGCGAGAGTCCTAAGTAGTTTGTGACAGATCTTTACATGAATACTCCATTCTTGGCCCAATCCTTAACAGACCAATGCAATAAACAACAACATGCATAAAAACTGTATTAATCTAAAGAATTTTAGCCACAAGTTAGTTATAATTTTCCTAGAGGATGGCAAGATGGCGTCACCCATGAGTTTCATGTTCTTAGGGAATGGCAAGATGGCGCTGGACACCTGGGGGCTGCATCATGGTAGAAGCATCCCTGCGACCACATGGTCTCTCCAAAGGGTCTCTCAAATGGAACACACAGACATGTTACATGGAGTATACAGGCTTACGATAGCGATCTGTTAGAGGAATAAGACATTGTCCCCTGAGAGGCAGGGATCCATGAGTTAGACATGCCAATGAAAAGACCAACTAATCACAGGCTGCAGAACTTTTCCCTCTTTGAGTGTAATGTCCTATCTTTTAGTTTTAAAGACTTATTTAAAGTTAGGATTACTAGGGCACATGGCAGTAACCCTTTAAGCTTTGTTACTGTCCAGTTTACATCAGGTGTTTATAAGTAGATCTTGGGTTGCCTCATAAAGGGGCTTTGTTATTACCTAGAAAACCAAGAATTCACATCCTGTAGAACCCAGCCATTTACAGAGCTACAGTTTGGAAAGGACCTCAAACAACTTTAGAACTTCACACGTTACTTTGAGCGATAGAGAACAAAGTTTTATTATTCTATTAGGCAGCAGCCACCAGAGCTTGTGCCTTTAGCTTGTAGCGGCAGAGGGGACTCTGCAGGCTAGCTGGGCAGGGCTGGCTCCCGGGCACGCTTCTGTGCTGCCGTTGAGACCTGCCTGGTGCTCAAGCCTCCCAGCCTCCAAGCTGAGGCTCCCAGGCTGGTGTTAATAGATGGGACCAGATACTTGAGGCACAGGCACATCCCAGGCTCCTTTGAGAGGCAGTAGATAAATGGCAGCCACAGAAAAGAATCACTTTAACTTTCCAACTCCACTAATCTCTATTTAAGATTAGGTAGCCAAAAGCCCAGAGGCCATCACAGGAAATTCTAGTTATCCTAAATTCACTCTAAAGCCTAATTCACTTTTTACCCAAAAAGCAATCCACTTCTTAAACAACTATTTTTGGAGCAAGGAGGTTCTTACAAGTGAATCTAAAAAAAAAAAAATCCAAAAAACCCAAACTGAGGAGCTAGGCAGAGCAAAAGCTAGAAATTTCAAACAGAAACTCTACATTCATTAGTGCAGGAACAAGTAGAATACTCAATGTCTCTCTTAACAAGACAATGACCAAAATTTAGAAAACCACCCCAGGGCCAAAAGAATTCAAAGCTAAATTTCTTAGTAAATATTTTAACCTTAAAATCTGACCCCACTGTTCTCACTTTAGAGACAAGGCCTGAGTTTGGTCCAGTGGGGTGTGCCCTCTCACTCGCAGGTGTGGCCAACATGGCTGAGTACTGCCATTGCTAGCATGCTTCCTGGGCCATGTGGCTGCCTGGGCCCAGGTATCAGTAAGGGAGCAGAGAGAAGGGAGGAGAAGGAAGGAAAGGGAAGGTGCAGGCACATGGCAGCTGCAGGAAAGAGGCAGCAGTTACCAAGGACGATAACTTAGGGCCTCACGGGCAGTCCTTCACCCCCCCTCCACCTGGGCCAGATGGTGGACCCATGCCCTGTAGCACTGGCTACCCCTGTGGTTCCACCCTCCCTGGTTGCATTTCTATCAAGATGCGGCCACAGAGGCTGGGCTAATAAAGTGCATCCCAGCATCTCCCAGCAGCATGCTCTGGGCGAGATGCTGATGTGTAAGGGGCAGGGAGGAATGGCTTAGGAGGAAACAAATTAATAAACATAGCACTTTACCTTTGTAACTCCTGGCTGGCTCGCCAAGTATGTTAACAGTGCTGGTGCAGTCTGTGATCAGAATTCCACATTCTTCATATCCCACCAGAAAGCATTCATGGCAGGATATGTGGGCTAAAGGGAGTTTTAAAAGTTAGGGACAAGAAATACATAGGGAAGCACGGTGGGGCCCAGGTGGAAGCCGGAAGCTTTAAAACCTATAACCTATTGGAAAGGGAGAAGATTCCCAGCCAATAACCAATGATTGGGAGGGGCATGGGTGGTTCCTGGCCAGGTGAGGGGGGTTGAGATTCCCACCCAATAATGAATATGGGGGTTGGGGGGGCATGGGCAGTTCCCAGCCAGGTGAGTGGTCTGGACCATTCCCTGGCAACCTACATACACCCTAAACTTTTCTACTTCTAGCCTGCCTCACAATGAGTCATGAAAGTTACATGTAAAGCAAACTAAACATACTTTCTTGTTTCATGGGTTTTTAGGTTTCGTTTTCTGTGTTTTTTTGTGATTCTTCCAGATGAATTAGGAAACTTTTATTTTTACATAGGGCTATTTTCTGGCATCTTGAGACATTATGGGCTACTAAAATTTTATTAGTTTTTTTAAAAATTCTTTTGGTGGTACAGGGGTTTGAACTTACACTTCACACTTGCTAGACACTGTACTGCTTGAGCCATGCCTCCAACCCTAAAATATAATTACTAAATTAAAATCTGTAGTCCTAAAGTCACTGAGGGCTAAATTGAGAGTTCTGTTAAGAAGGCTGGCTGCTATGTGGCACTTGGTGACATCACAAAATCCCAAAACACTGTGTGTGAAAGCGGTTGTGTTTCCTCATCAGTGTTGCCTTGTGTTTCAATACCAAATTTTTGCAAATTATCAACTCTGTGTTTACCTGTATCATTATCTCTGGTCTATTGAAGGTTTTCTGCTTATAAAGACATGTCAGTTTAAATAGGAATTATCCAAACCCCTTGTCCCAAAACAATCTCCCCACAATTCCATTGCTTAAATAAAGCCAAGTGTATTTTTCCACTGAAAAATGGAAAAGAATCTTTTGCCTAACCCAAAGGGACCCAGGGAAAGAAATCTTGAGAATCTGTACTGTGAGTTATCATAGCTGAAAGAAAATTATTTGCCCTAAGAATCAAGCACCATTATGTAATATCCACCCGTTCCTTTCTGCCTTTTTTTTGGCAGCATTGGGATTTGATTGAACTCAGGGCCTCACGCTTGCTAGGCAGGCACTCTCACCACTTGAGCCACTCTGGCAGCCCTTTTTTTTGTGATTTTTTTTTTTGAGATAAATGCTTATGAACTATTAGCCCAGGGCTGGCTTTCAACCTTGATCCTCCTGATCCTCTTGAGTTAGGATTACAGGTGTGAAGTACCAGCACTCAGCTCCTTTCTGCTTTCTAGTAAATGTGGACTTCCTGCACTGGCAGGTGTCATATATGTATCAATTTCCTATGTCCCTAGGTCATAGGGACATCAAATGAATGCATCAAATGAACGAGATGGTCTCAAATCAGTAACACTTTGTTTGTGGCTCTAGTAAAGAAGTCACAAGGGCTGACAAGTCTACAGGGCTGTCACACCTTCCAAACCTGGCCAGTCCCAGGTTCTTGGCTCCTAATCGAGATAAAGTCCTGGTACAGATACTACAAGACCTCTACCCCCCTGCACCTTGGAATCACTACTTCTCAAAATTTGTGCTTCATTATGGTGGCACTCAGGCCCTGGCAGGTGGATTGTGAGCCACTTTTAACACATAAATATGGTAGTGATGGAAGAAATGTCACTGGCTGGGAATGTGACTCAGTGGTAGAGCTCTGCTTATATGCATGGGGATTAGGTTACAATAAAGGCTCTGGCTTCCACCTTGTTCTGTCACTTACTCTAATAGAAGCCACCTGCCATGCTGTGAGCTGACCTAAGGTAAGGCTCACATGGCAAAGAACTGAGGGAAGTCTGGCCAACAGCCAGAGAGGAACTAAAGCCCTCCATCCAACAACCCACAAAGATTCAACCCACTGAATCCAGCCACAAACTGCTGGATTGTAGAAAGCCTGTGAAAATATGAAATTCCCACGAGGATCACAGCCTCGCAGGAGACTGTACCAGAGGATCACAGATAAGCTATGCCCAGGCTCCTGAGCAACAGAAATTAGGGGGTTGTTTTGGGGGGAAGTGCTTGCTGTTTCCAGCGGCTAGGTTTTAAGATAATTTTTTACACAGTAGTAACTAATATACTTGAGAGATGGGAAGTGTTACTACACCACAGCCTGAAACTATCTAGCAGTTACCTTGAGCAAACTATCTTCCTTCTCTTCAAATGGGAAAAATCTTTCCCTCTTCGCAGCTTATGTCTATATGAAGGCATCTGTTCACAAAGAAAAACAGCTTGCTTTCAACTCAACACAGAACATTAACAAACGCAAACTAGATTGCTAGTCTTTAAAGAGGAATTTCAATTCAATTTTTCATAATTTATATTCCCTTACACCAAAAATATTTCTAGCCAGGCATGGTGGTGCAGGCCTGTAATCTCAGGTACCCAGAGGCTAAGGCAGAAGGACTGGGAATTCAAGGCTTAGAATTCAAACTTTGTGAGAACCCATCTCAAAATAAAATTTAAAGATGGGGAGTAGCGATGCAGCTCAATGGTAGAGCTCTTGCCTAAGTCTACATTTGGCCATTGGTTCAATCCCCAGTACCACAAAGATAAAATTGAATTTAAAAATTTTAAATTGCACCTAGGAAAAAACAAAAGACATATTAAAAATCAGTTGGAAATCATGTTTCCTTTTAATTGATTCTTTCACCTGCACTGTTTCCCCTGGGCTGCTGTTCTGGCAACAGTTTTAGGTCCCCACCTCTCAGAAATACTGAATCTGACCAGACTGAGAGTCAATGTGAACACGGGTGCCAAACAAGGGCTTCTGGAACAGGAAAACAAGAAATAGTAAAAACCAGCCTTTCTCTTCACTAAGAAAGGATTGGGAATCAGAGGGTACAAATTCCACCTTACAAACACAGAAAACCTGGAGCTTAGAGCTCCATGCAAACATGGAAACCAAACGTATGAGGAATGAAGTACAGCAGCCTCTCTCTCCAGGGCAAGATGGTTCTTGAGAAATACACACCTGACCACTGGCCTCTTCTATCAAGAATGGCCTCACTCCAGCATCTTTAAAGATGTTTCTCCTTCTATTTCATTCCCCAAAGAGGTATAAAATCTACTAAAAGGGATACAATAGAGTACAATCAAAATAAATAAGCTCACTCACAAGAAACATTCCTGGATAATGATTTTTGGTTGCTGACACTATTCAGCACATTATTTCAAAGAGGCAAAATTCGGGACAAACTGAGAAGAGAATTCAAAAGTGGCAGCTACATTCACTGACAGGTTAACATAGGAAACACACATATGACCCCATTTTCAGTGTATATGGCAAGGCGTCAAGACCCCGATCATCAAAATAACTTATTTTATACATTACAGCGCACAGAACAACAAGAGGGAAAGACACTTTCTTGGAAGGTGACTACAAGGCATTGTGCAAAGGTCCATGTCACTGTGCAGTGGAAGGACTGGAGCCCAGTGCCTATGGCCTTCATTAGCTTGACCCCTGCTCTTTGGATGCAGAGGCCTCAGTGGGAACCGTTTTATGAACATGTTCCATTGGCTTCTTCTCTTCCTCCTCCTCCTCCTCTTCATCTTCTTGGGGATAGAGGTCCGGGTACTTCTGCATGCACTCCTGCATGGCCCGGAACTGGTCTACACAGTCTGACCCCTTGATATCCTCTGTACTGTAGTGGAAGCAGGAGAAGGCCGACTTGAACTGTTCCCCACAGGGGCCGCTGGCCATTCCCCCAAGGCAAGGGCAGTTCCAGTTAATATCTCCATTTGGCAGTATCAATCCTGTAACAGGAAGATGGACAAGGGAAAGGTGAAAGATACTTTCTATGGTCTTGGAACATAAAAAAACCAGTCTAGTCCTCACAGTTCCTGGCAGGCATTTGCTGTGATTTGGATCAGCTTCATGCCTAGCACAAATCCAGCATTCCTTGGCCAGCTAGACAAAAGCGCCATTAGTATCCTTCTCAATGTATAGCACTGATATATACTCTAAGCCACTCCCCCGTGCTGTGAGGCTGTGCTCCAACCATTTAGCCCAAAGAAGCAGTGGTCCCTTAGATGGTCACCAGGGAGCTTTTCTAAAGCCCAAATGCTGTAAAGAACTAAGGTACTGATCTCTTTCCAGTCTCAACTCCCCTCCCATACATATAATTAGGACAACACATCCTCCTACCCCTTGAGTGCTCTTGCCCTGCAGCTTCACTCAGGAGCCCAAGGGATAAAAAGAGGACGATCACTATGCACTGATACAGAAAGATGTTCAAGACATACAATGAAAAGCTAGTGGCATATCAGAATGGTATGACTGATTCTTATAAAAATATTAGGGCTGGAAATGTAGCTCAGTGGTAGAGTCGAGGCCTAGCATGCATGAGGCCCTGGGTTCAATTCCCAGGCCACAATTAAACAAACAAACCTGTGTGTGTGTGTGTGTGTGTGTGTGTGTGTGTGTGTGTGTGAAAGTGAGGCTACAGATGGATTTTCACTTTCATAATTTCATAACCTATATTATATAGCCCTCGTACTTTGGAATTTTGTCTTTTCTACTTTCAACTTTGTGCACATCTAAATAGTATTTCCTTGTTTTCCAACATGCTGTAAGATGATGCTTCATTTTCAGCTTGGATGGACACAGAAATGTGATCCATATAGACATTGCTCGAGTCTTCTACAGAAACAGAGAAACACTTTAAGAAAAACCCGAAAGTGCCATAAAATTATACATGATCCTTCACTCCAGGAATGTGCCCAGATACAGCTCTCTGAACTAGTGTCAAGTCCTAGGCTGAATCCCACCTGTTAATTCCAGCTTGAGAAGCTTCACTGGCCAGTGGATATGTTGTTACTGTTCCTCATTTATAAAATGGGGCAACAGTGGTGGCCTCAGTTGATACTTTAACTTCTTAGCAGGCAGTTCACACTGACACCACCAGCAGCTGCAGAGCAAGTTCTTCTGGTTAAGCTACATCTGGCAGCTCGACTACTCCTTGTGACAACTTTCTGAAGACACTACTAACTCCAGCTTACGCCTGAGGTTTCTGGGCTTCATGAAATCCAAGTCAGGCCTGCAGCAAGGGCTCACAGAATTCCCAGAGCCTCAGTCCTTTTCCCCAACATCTCACCATCTCACTCCTCAGAGATCTCAGTGCTGAGGAAAAAAAAAATTGTGCAAGCTCCACCCCCTGGAGTTTCAAATCTGCTAACAAACTTGCACAATCAATTTCCAAAAGAAGTAATACTGAAGTTTAAAAATTTCAACCCAGTCTATAGAATTCCTTTCATTTCTCAGGGGAAGACGAGCTGAAGTGAGGCAGCACCTTGCAGAGAACACATGGTGCCAGCAGTTGTTTCAGGGACACAACATAACTCCACAAGGACAGCTTCAGCAATTAAATTAAGTCCCGATGTATATCTTAAACACCAAGAGGCAAACAAAACTACAGGCCTCCAGCGTCTCAATCAATTAATGAAATATGCTTAACTAATATGGACCTAAAGATAGGCAAAGGGCTGTAATTGACATGGGATTTATTTTTGTTTAAAAAAAGTGCTGACTGAAGATTAGTCCTATTTCATATGGCGCCTGCATTTCTACTGATCCCAATGGGGTGCTACCTATGAACCCTTAGCTTTGCTCTAACCTTGAGGTAACAAGTTCCCCACCAGGGAATATACACAGTAGATCACATCTGGAAAATTCAACCAGAAGCCCTTATTCCAGGGGCAGCTGCTTCAAGCTCTTCCCATTTATCAGCAATTAACAGGAGAAGCACGTGTTGTTAGCGATCACCATGGATGTCAGAAGTGGTTTCTGATGGGTGAACTGAGTGCTGCTGCCAACAAAGATGTCTGTGAATACTGTACACACACACCAGTCTTACAGGACAGGGTAAGTACTTGATGAGCCCAGCAGCCTAAGGCCTTTAGAGTGACATCCTAGGTCCAAGTGAGCATTGCTGTATTTGGCTGTGAGCCCGGGAGCATGCAGCAGTTCTGCCTAGCCAAGCTGAGACCTGCTGCTAGAAAACTGTCCACTACATGGAGGGACCTTTTCATACCAAGTGCTCACAAGAGCACTTCAAAGGAGAGAGCAGGGACTTGTGCAGCCTCACAGATCAACTACACGACTGCTATGTGCCTGCTTGCCAATATAGTCAGTAGACATGGAGAATTCAGTCTGGTAACTTGACCAAGCAGACAGATCCCTGTCACCCTGACCTACCTGGAACTGCTGGAATCCAGACAGCTTCCCCCAAAATTTAATCACCATGAAGCATCCAACTGGCTTAAGTCAATGCAAAAGCTTGAGAGAAAAGAGGCAGAAGCGTTTCAATAAGAAGAAACTGCTGCTCATGGCTCAGAGCAGCCCCAACACCTTGAAGGGAGACAGCCTCAGCACCAGAGCTGGCTGGGGCTGAGATGGACACCACAAACACAGCCTGGCCTAAGATGTGGTGAGCAAGGAATTGTCAACACAAGCCTTCCCCCAGAATGTGTCTAGGTCCTTAGGAGGCCCTGTATCACTTACCATGTTCCTCATACGGATCGTTGGGGTCATCAGCCACCAGCTCTGCATTGCTGGGAGTTTCATGGTCTTCTTTGGTCACAAATATGATTCGATCTTTTCCTAGTGTTTTTGGGGAACAGAGGAGGAAGTGTTTCACTCAAGAGCAGTGACTCTGTCTTAAACCCAGAGCAGCCACACAAGACAGTTTGCAAACTGTCTTACAGGTCGTCCCCAAGTGAGGAGACCTTTAAACTGCTCCCCCTGGGTGACTCTGTAGTACAGTCTAGCAGCCACTCCTTCCAAGAGCCTGGCCCAGAGTCGGACTCCATGGGAGTCATGGGCACGAAGGAAGGCAGTGTACCTTACCCTCTAAATGGATCAACCAGGTAGGAGAAACTGCCAATCCAGCAAAATGTGCCTGTGTTGGTCTCCAAATCTGTCACTATTCCTCCAGTGCAATGTCTTTCTCTTCCTACCAAGAAAGAAATAGTGCTCCCCTTCCCCAAAAGAGAACCAAAGCATACTCCCTGGTACCCTGACTGTCCTCCTGCAACCTTTACTTCACTTCTTGCCCTGCCCACCTCCTCCACAACCCTTGGAAATGTAGGGAAAGGGATGCTCAGAAGGCCTGCAACCAAGCAGCCTGGACCCGTGATGCTGCACAAGCTGCTCTTTCAGACTGGGAGAAGAGAAGGGGGATGTAGAAGGTGTTGGGGGCAGGGGGGATAGGAAAAAAAAGACACTAGAAAAACCATGCTTTCTGGTATCCTTGGAGTTTACCCACAGGGTTCAAAAAGCATAACAAACTTAAGGACAATGAGAGTTGGACAAAGGGAGTATGCAGTGATATGAGGATCCAGCTCACAGCGTGCACACCTGATGCAGCCCCTATTCCCTCCAGGAAGCCAGCCTAAAGGAAAATGTTCCTGGTACCAGTCTCTGAAAGGCAGAAGCTACAGATGCTGGAGGGACAGGTGTCCAGGGTCCAGATCCTCTAAGACTTTTGTCTCTAACCATGGTCAAGATCATGTCAGTGGGGGACAACTCAACCATTCCTCACAGCCCAGGGGCTATTTCCGAACAAGTACAATGATGGGGGGAGTGCTTCACAGAAGTGCTGATTTTTTATCTTCTGTGACCAGCTTCCTAGGAAAGCCACAGCTGGCTGCCAGGGGATCCTGAGGACTCCAGGGATAGACATGTGAGTAATCAGATGCACTTCATACTCGAGCTTCTCCTAATGGGAGGCTGGGTGAGGCAAGGGAAGCAGGCCTGAACAAACTGCAGTGGGAACATCAAATGTCCGTTTCATCCAGTGACCCTATAGGGTATCAGCACCCTCACCCACTGAGTACAGCAGAAAACGAAGGTCCAGAGCAGTTACTCAAGATCAACCAGGGGAGACTGGCAGGCAGGATCCTGACCTGGCCAAAGCCCTTGCTGCTCTCTCCCAGACACCTTGTAGCTGAGAACACTTTACCTCAGCTTCCTGAGACCTTTGGCCACTAGTTAAACTCACAGCACAGATGAATCAGATATTTTCATTGTGGGTAGGGAGCCCCTCCCACACTGCACGATGGATCACCCATTTCCCTAACAGTTCCTGGAGGACAGATTAGGCTGGCCTCTGGGTCCTGTGTGTCAGTCAGCTCCTTCCACCCTATCGCTACCAATTTGGGGACAGCAATCCCCTCACTGACTTGTCAGGCTCACACAGTGCTGGGACTTCCAGCATCCACATGGCACTTCCAGGGCAGGAGACTCAGGCACTTCCTAGGGCACCCATAAAGACAAAAATACCCACCCAACCCCTATCCCAAACAGCTGAGACTACAGCCTTTCTGAGTACCTTCTGACACCAGGAGGTCTGGGATAAGTGGACTCTCAAGTGGAGGAGATGGGACCCTCAAATTAGGAAGACTTCTTCAGGTAGGCGAAAAGATGCCCCTGGACAGGGCTTTAGTGAGTGGCTCGGAGTGTATTAACTACTGGGGGAGCAGGGGTGGCCAGCAGAGATGTGCCTCTCTGAGAGGCACTATCTCCACATTTTTTCCCCTTTCTATTTGGAAAGTTCTCTCTGGGGCAAGCTAAGGGAAAGCAAGCCCAGGCTTAGGCTGGAGTAAGGAGAGTAGGGAAGAGGCTTAGGGGAAAGCAAAGGCCAGAGGGACAACTCCGATAGGACAGTTCAGGGACACAGGGAAGACAGAAGGTGCTTTACCCCATGGCCACACATGCATAGGGTCCCCCATACTGGAGACGATTAACAGGACCAATTCTGGTGCACAGGGCCCAGACCTACCACCACCCAAGGTCTCTGTTCACAAAGGCAGGCAACTCTGCCTCAGCACCGCATTACGCAGAGCTGATGGCTCCTCCACCAGGCCTGGGGAGCATTTGGGCAGGACAGCTGGGAAATGTTAGAGCACCTCGTGGCCTGGTACTCTGGCCAGTTTTCAAAACACTTGAAAGCAATCTGCAATAATGCTAAGTAAAACCAGCTGACCCAACCTCCCCACCTCAGCCCAGTCAAATGGGCACAGGCCCAGAGGGAAAGAGTGTAAACGTTACAGGCAGGCTACGAACACACCTAACAGGGTTCATGACGCATGCAGAAAACCTAGAGCCCAGGCTTCACCCAACAAAAGCTGACTCAAGCTCTCTGCAATGTCCATATTGCTCACAGGCTTCACAGGGGATTAGGATAACATAGTACTAGGACTCCAAACCTAGTACAATCCCACACAGAGAATGCCCTAGCCCCTTCCCTCCCTCCCCCGCCCCGCCACAGGCTCAAGCTCTTCTGGATACTTCCCTTAGCATTCAGCCAAAAGGAAGAGCAGTAACCCCGTGTAATGCCTTTACATCTGAGTTCATTTAGCCCACATATCAACAGGAGGGAAGGTATCATTCTGTCTTTTTCCAGAGATAGGAAAAACAGAAGCCCAAAAGCTAAGAAACCGGCCCAAAGGCACACAGCAAGTAAGGGCAGGGCAGGAACTGTGTTCTGAAAGGGACTGAAAGGGTCACTTTTTACGCTCTGCACTTCATGTCAGTCCTACCAGGCCTGTGGGAGTTCGGGGGTGGGAACTCAGTGGTGTGACACTTTCTTAGCAGGCACAAGGCCCTAGGTCTCATTACCAGCACTGTGAAAAAAAAAAAAAAAAAAAAAGTTAAAAACAAGAGTGGATGCAAGAACTGGTGCAAAGTCAAGGCTAATGTAATCTTTAACAAATCTAACTGTGAAAGAAGGAAGTAGTCATAGCTGACTCATGAGGTAATTGGCTAGACTAGTAGTTCTCATGAAATCTCAGGATTTTCTCTAGAGAAATAAAATATTAAAACACTTGTGTTTTATTTCCAAGATAAGCTCCCCTATCTCCACCAAAAAAAAAAAAAAAAAAAAAAGTGGAGTGTGGGCATCCACCTTACACCCTCTCACATGTCTTACACCGATGGTCACAGTGGCATCAGTATCTCAGACAGCCCAAGTACTGGAGTTCAAATCCAGGTTCAAGTACACTCTGGGTCTCAGAAAAGGCCACCAGCAAGTCAGCCTACCTACCTCATGTGCACAGGGACAGGGACAATCAGGACAAGAGTTGACCCAAGGAGGTAAAATGAGTCTCTGTACTCAGCTGAAATCCCACTTGCAAGACTCATGTTTTCAATGGCATCAACTGACAAGGGTACAGTGGCCAGGTAAAGACAGTCGCAGGCTAGAGGCGCCAGTAAAGTTTTGGAGGTCAGAAAGCTGGAGGAACAGCGCTGTCTATCTAGAACCAGCAGAGAAAGCTGAACCCAAAGTGCACAAGGAGGAAGCCAGCCAGAAGCAAACCAGTCCCCACCCCAGAACCCAGGGGATAGATCACAAAGGGCTGCAATCAGAATTGGAGGGCAGCTGAATGGCAAGGTACTCCTGTCTTCCCCTCACACCTCCATTAGCAAATCCAGCAGCTCTACCCGATACACATGTGGAAGATCTACACCCCTCGCCTCTATGAGCCCATCTCTACCACTGGCTCCTCCAGCTGCCCTGGAGCATGCTGAACATGCTCCCACCTATGGGTCTCTGAGAAGACTGCTCTCACCTCCAGAGCACTGTCCTCCCAGGGGACTCTGCCTGCCCTGCCTCCTATTGAGATGCCATCATCCCCATCTTATTTTTCTCTTAGATGCTTTTTCTTATCTTACTTTTATATATTTCGGTTTTTTTGGCGGTACTGGAATTTGAACTCAGGGCCTTACACTTGCTAGGCAAGAGCTCTACCACTTGACCCATTCTTCCAGCCCTTTCTTGTGATGGTTTTTTTCGAGATAGGGTCTCACGAATTATTTGCCCAGGCTGGCTTTGAACCATGATCCTCTTGATCCCTGCTTCCTGAGTAGCTAGGATTGTAGCCGTGAGCCACCAGCACCCGGGAAACTGTATTTGTTTACCACCTGCCTCCCCCATGGGAATGCCAGATCTATGTGGAGCAGGGTTTTTTTTTTTAGTCTGGTCATTTCAGTGTCTCCAGAGCCTAGAACAGTGCCCAGGACATAGTAAGACCTCCCTGTGCTGAAAAAGTCAATAGAGAAAGCGAACTTAGCATGAGGACATGAAGACCCCAGACCCAGGAGAGAGCAGAAAGACAGATTGGTTACTTCCATCAGGTAGATTATAGAGAAAAGAAACCTCGGGTATGTGGTTTCATTTTCTCCAAAAGAAAAGCCACACATCCTGCAGAGGAAACCCAGCTCCTGGTCTCCCAAGGACAGTTGAGGAAAATGGTGGCCTATACCACTCGGTTTATCGTCTCTCTTTGGCTGAGCAGATTCAATGCACCTGTAATGCAATTCCAACTACTCTCTGATTGACATTCACCCTGAGAAAGAGACCTACAGACAGAGGGAAATGCTTTAGTTGACCCTGAGTAGTAGCTATGATGTATTTTCAATGAGGTAAAAGGTTTTTAAGAGGTTAATATATTTGACTATTCAAGACTTTCATGTTTACAATCTAACTGTTGAAAGAGGCAACTCCCCTATATTTAAGAGGGAAATTCTAAATTTAGGAAGGAAATTCAACTCAACAAATATGGCCGAGCTCTTAAATCTATGCTAGAGACCTTTCTAGGGCTTGGAGAGCAGAGATCAAGAGGTCAAGACATCCCTCTCACTCTTTAGTACCTTAAAACTGGTGGCAGATGGTAGGGAGGAGCATGTGCCTCCAAAGAATACATAAATAGCTTTCAGACAGTGTACAAAAAATATTAAGTGTCCATAAACCTTCATTAGCTCTTGCTCTGTTCCAGGACTTGGGGGGTCCCAGATGAGTACAACACAGGCACCCAGTGGAGAAGCCTTGTCTGGTGGTGGGGAGGGGGGATTTTCAATGAAGAAAGAGCTGGGATCCCATGTGCAGCTAGGGAAGGACATAAGATGTCCCAGAAGGGCCTGCGTGGGCAAAGGCTGGAAGGTGGTTCTAAGAGGTTAAGGTGCTCATTTCCACGTGGTCAGAAGGACTGGAAAGGTTTTGAGAAGATGCCTTTGAAATCATCTTAAAGCCCTGGAAGCCGTCTCTACCCTGCAGAGCCCTTCGTTATACTACCATGGCATTTCCTTCATGTCACGGATTGTTTGTAATTATCCACTCATCTGGTGACGTTTCAGTCTTTTCTCATGCCATGAAGGCAGAGAATGTGTCACTTTGCTCACCACTACATGCCAAGTAGCTGGCACACCACATGTGCTCAATAAATGTTTGTAGACTGAACAAGGAGCGGCAGGCTGTGCCTTACAAAGAGAAAACTAAAGGACAATGAGGCACTGACAGAAAAGCATGGGCAAACCAAAGCCAAAGAGTAAAGCTGTGCCCACACTGTAGGGCACTCTCTAAGTGCCAAACTGAGGACCTCGAAGGTAAATGTGCACAGGTAATGATTTGCTCAGAACAGAGGGCAGGCACGTGCCTGGGGACATGGGTTAAAAGATGAGCACCCAGGCCCTGTGCTAGCTCTCAGCTTGGTAAGAGAAGGCAGGCAGGAAACACAATCACAAAAAATACACAAGGTAATTTCAGAGTTTAAGATGTGAAAGACACAAGGATTCAGGAAAGGCCTGTGAGGAGGTGACATTTGAGCTGGGTCTTAAAGGATAAGAGACAGCAGAAGAGCTGGAGGAAGGATGCACTGGCAAAGGGAACAGCCAGAGTGGCTGAGGCACAGTCACATAAGCCTCTACACAGTAGAGTATGGGGTCACTTTCCTAAATCCCATGGGAAACAAAAAAAAAGGACCAGTGGACAGAAAAATAAAGTTAGCATTTAGTACTGGGGTTTGAACTCAGGGTTTCGTGCTTAGCAAGGCAGGCACGCTTATCATTTGAACCACACCTCTGGCCCAAAATGAGCACTTTTGAAGAAGCAGTGGTGTAGACAAGATAATCAAAGGAAGAGGGAGTGGGGGTAGGGGGGAGAAATGACCCAAGCCTTGTATGCACATATGAATAATAAAATTAAAAAAAAAAACCAAAGGAAGACCTCAAAGTGAGGTGAGCCCCTAAAGTGTTTTCACCCATTCCTCCTTCCAGAGTATCTGTGAGACACATCAACCCTCAAAGGGAAGGAAGGGTGGTGATAAGTACATAGCTCATTACCCCAAAGGCTCAAAATTGATCTGCCAACCAAAGAGGTGAATTAGACTTGGAGAGAGGAAATTTAAAAAGCAGGACAAGGACCTGCTGTGTAACAAAGTGGTAAGGGCAGGGGACTTGCTTAAGGCATTCATTCATTCATTAAGTAGAAACAACAGAAACAGTCCTCTCTAGAGACACCCAGGGAAGGAGGGCAGGTTCTGGAGGCGGCAGCCTGTGGTACTGGGAGAGGCCTGGCAGTTTAGACTGAGCTGTCCTCACTGGATGTGCGCCCTTGGGTAGGCCACCCTCTCTGAGCTTCCCATTCTCTTCATTCAAGCGAGGGATCTGGACTTCCCACCAGGTTCTAGATGAGCTCCAATTCTCTCTGTCGCTTTCCGCTCTCAGGTACTCGGGCCCCGAGCACGTGCTTCCTGAATACCCGCCCAAACCACCTCCACCTTCATTCACAAGGCAGGAATCTTCTGCGCTGTCGGGTGGCGGTAACAACAGGGCCACAGAGAAGTGGGTGGACCCCAACTCTGCTGGGGGGCGGGGGGGGTCTTCCCAGCAGGGGGTCCAAACTGGGCAGCAAACTCCAGCTCCACGGCCCGCTGGCGGTGTGACCCGGCCAGGCCACCGGTGCGTGGCTTAGTGTGCCATTCGATCGAATCGACAAGCCAGCTCGGTGAGGAAAGCCACACAAAGTTTAGACGGCGCCCGCTCCGTATGCGGGCCTCCCGCATCTAGCCGGAGGGACGACTTTCCGGGACAGGTGAAACGCCCGTGCAAACGCACACGTGGTGCCTGGCGGGCGCGACAGTGACTATGCGTGACAATAAACTCCCAATTACGAGCCAGACGCAACGCGCTCGGCACGCCCAGGCACCCGCGGGGCCCATTCGGGGCTCCCCCACGTGAGGTCACGGGTTCGAGCCTCACCGTGACCTTGGGCCAACTTCGTCCCTTCTACAGCCTCGGTTTTCTCGTCTGTGAAACGGCGGGGGCGACCCGGCCGCCCAGCCCGCCCCCGAGGACCCCAAGGCGGGCACCACGGGCGGCGCCTCGGCTCCCGCGCCGCTGCGGGGTCGCGGGGAGCCGGGGCCTGTGGAGGCCGAGCGGACCGCGTGTCTCCCGCTGAACCTCGCAGGCCGGTCTCCATGGCAGCCGCCCACCTACCTTCCTGCCGGCAGTAGGCCATGGCTGCCCCCGGCGCTTTGATTCGCAGAAGAGGCGGCTGCGGCAGCGGTAGCGAACAAACCTTCCAGCCGTGACCTCCCTCTCCTCAGGCACCGCGGGCGGCTTTGAGGCCCGCGCGGACCCGCCCCCTTCAGGCCTGCCCGCCGCACGCCTGCCTCTGCGCCTTCCCAGCGCCAGCCCGGGCCCCTCAACCGAGAACTACATTTCCCAGCAGCTCTCCAGGCCGCAAGAACCACATTTCCCAGAAATCTTTGAGTGCGCAGGCGCATGTTCAGGAACAGGCTGTGTCGCAATTTTGAGGCGAAAGCGCCTGACCCTGGACTACATTTTCCAATAGGCCTTGCGGCGCGCAAGCGCACAAAACTCGGGGCCCACTGGGCGGTAACGCTGGAACAAGTCCCGCCTGGTCCTGGACATCTCCATGAGGATTTTTGCAGCTCTCGGGCAGGCAAGAGGACACTGCATTCAGCCCTCCGATCGTCAGTCTACTTCCTGGCGGAGCAGAGCGAGGCGGCGGCGGCGAGCCGGTGCCCACCATGGCCGCGAATGTAAGTGTCTCCTGGTCTTCCCAGCCACACCCAGACTCCCCATCGCCGGGGGCCTGCGGGCCGCAGAGGTCCATTTTTTCTGTCTGACCCTCGTAGGTCCCGCGGGTACCCGATCTCTCGCTCTGCATGTCGGGGTGTATGCCTTCCCGCAGCTCGCGGGCCTGTCCAGCTCTCCTGTCCGGTCCGGACCCCCCTTGCCCGTGTTCGTTCGTTCGTCCGCCCGTCCTCAGCCCGCGCGTCTCGCGGAGGACGACTCTGTGCGCGGCGCCTCCGCACCTAGGCCCTTGGGGTTCTGAAACTTGTGGAATTTGGGGGCCCGACGGGACCTCAGAGAATGAGCCAGTCCGTCGGGAGGATGGGAGGCCGATCCCGCCCAGGTGGAACTGTCCAACAACGGACGGTTGTTGTCCTGGCTTATAGTGATCTCCGCACCCTAGGGGCGGGGAGCGGGAGAGCTAGGATTACAAGCACAGGGAGCATTTCCCTGCTGCTAGGGATTTGGTTGGAGACCATGACTGCTGGCCTTTTCTGACTGCAACCAGTCTTTGAGAAATGTTCTTTTTAAGCCCAACACCATTCAACAAACCGAGCAGCTCCACCTACCAGGGCACTGGGTGTGGGAGAAGCTGGTGACTCACCCTGTCTCCTCTGTGAAAGCACTTTGGGAGCCAGCTCCGGAGCACTGCCAGCCCCAGACACACCCTCCCTCCTGCTTTGCTGGTGTCCTTGCCGCCCTCCCCGTGCCTGCTACACCCTCTTTCTAGGCTCCTCCTCTGTCCCCAAGCCTCCTCTCTGCCTCCCACACGTCCTGAGAAGCCAGGGTTTATGTCAGTCTCTCTCTGGCCAGCTCTGCCTGGCACGCTGTTAGGCTGGGGTGGGGGGCTAGAACTCACAAGTGCTGCATCTAGAAAGGCCTCAGAGGTGGTGCATGAGACTCAGGGTCTGCCAGTCCAGAGAGCAGTCACTAGACCTGCCCTCCCCCAGCAGGTGAACTCCTGTCCACCCCCATCATTGCCATCACCATATTTTCTAGAGGGATAATTTCCCCAGTAGGAGAGACACCTGCCCAGGGTCTCTCAACCAGCTTGGCATGCTACAGCATGGGAAGGTGCTGAAGAGGGCCAACTTAAGTGTCAGGTAGACCTGGGGACAGCCAGATCCCTCCTCTCTGGGGTCGTGTGGCCTTAATCTATCTGGGTTTGTTTTCTCGTGGGATCAGTCACTATGAAGTTTAAGGACTTCTGCTTAGCCCCCATCTGTGGGATCTTACCCCTCAGCAAGGAACATGGACACACTTGGGTATCCTCAGTTGCCAAGCCTTTGTTGGCTCATCCAGTAGCTGGGTACACATTTGTGGAAGCTACAAGGCTGGATGAGCAAGAAAGATCTGAAGATAGTGGGGTGGAGCGGAGGCAACTGAATGTTGTGTGGCAACTGCCCTGTGAGGAAGGTATTGTTATCATCGGGTGAGGAAACAGGATCAGAGGTTGCACATTCTAACCCAGTTCTGCCTACTTCCAGGCCCAATGTCTTGACCTCCATTCCCACTTCTCACAGCCTTGTTGCTCATTGCTTCTGAGACCTGAGTGCTGGGTGTGGAAGGGTGTTAGTGGGGACATGTGTGTGTGTCTCTGTGTGTGTGTGGTAGGCACACATACATTCAGTCCCCACAATCCTCCATGTTTACTGGGAATTTTGTTTCAGAATGTGGGCTGTGTGTGCCATGTCACTGCCCACCTCCCACTTCCCCCAGCCTCTCTTCCCTTCAACACCATCTTTGAGCCCTGTGTCTTGATGCTGGCTGAGGGGGGACCAGGAGGAAGGCATGTCTCCTTTTTCTGCTGCTGCATGCAGCTGCCATCGAATGTTCAACTCTCATTACAGCACAAGAAATGAGGCAGACAGTCTGGATTGGAGGGTAGAGAGTCGCTCCATTCTGCCTGGATTTAACACTTACTCTGCTGTTTAATGGCTATGTCATCTGGGAGATGTCATAACTACTGAGCCTCGATTTTCTCATCTATGAGATGGGGACTTGGGCTTGCTGGGGACTGGCCTGTAACAGACTGCATGTTTGCCGTTGTCGTCAGTCTGCCAGTTGACAGTTACCTACTTGCCCACAGTTACATTACTCCACTAATGTATCCAAATGGTAATGAAAGTCAAGACCTCTCTATGCCATGGATATCTGGCCTGAGCTGGTGGTGGGCAGGGACAGTTAGAGGAACATGGCATCAGCTTTGCTCACTGACTCTGACTTGAATCCTTCCTCTGACACCACCCCAAGCTGGTGCCAGGAAGGGGCCTGACTTGCAAGGAGTGCTTACCTGGGAAACTCGTTGCATCTTTGAGACTTTTGTCAGCACACCCTCTTCTGGGTGCCAGCCTGGTTCCAGTTACAGAGAAATCTGATAACATTCCTACTAGCCAACCCCTGCATGGTGCCACCTAATTGTGCCCTTTGGTTCTTACCACAGTCCTGTGCACTAGATTATTACCCCCGTTCTGCCCATGACGAAATGGAGGGCACAGAGGCTCTCAAGTGCATGCCCAAGGGGGCACAGGTGGTGGTGTGGCAGAGCCAGGATTCAAGTCCAGTCCTTTTGCCCTTGGTGACACTATTGAACAGTAGTGGGCATACTCTAAATCCTGCCTCATGGGGAGGCAAAGTCTGCTTCACTGATCTGGAGCTGAGGCCTACCAGGAAGCTGCCCAGGCATGCCTGCTGCTCCATCTCCCTGCCTGTCCTCCACCAGCCAAAGCAGATAGCTTGCTGCTCCCCAGAGCACTCTCTGCTCCACACTACTGCTCCCAGCCTTCCCCTGCTGTGGTGTCTATCCCCAGGGTCTCCTCTACATCCCACTCAATGCCTCCTCCTCCAAGGAGCCAGCCTTGAGACCCCAGCTGCGAGGTGCGCCCAGCACCAGGCCCACCTCTCTCACTGGACACTCAGCATGACCTCCTAGTGTTGCTTGTGGCTGTGACTTGGCTGCCCTAAGGGCCATCTACCCCACCGCTGACCCCACAGGTCCCAGTATGGCCTGCAGGAAGCACAACCAGCACTTGCCAGATTTAATTAAAAATACATTTCTAACAACCTCTTTGCAGAACAGCTTGGCAGTTTCTTAAATAGTGAACCACACATCTTCCCTGTGAGCCAGAACTCCACTGCTAGGTATAGTTGACACTAGTATCAGGGGGATCTGCTCCAGGAACCCCCACAGATACCAGAATCATTGGACAAGACCCATCGACCTGTACACTTAATATCTACTAACTGTATACATGTATAATTAAAACATAATAAAAAATATGTAAATAAATAGCAAAATTCTGTATGTTTTTAAAGGTAATTACCATTCTGATCTTTTTGTGGCACTGGGGATGGACATATGTGATTTCTTAATACATGTTTTTCTCAGTATTCCAGCACAAGTACCAGGAGAGAACATGTCAAAATTACATCTGACCCCCAGCCAGGCTTCCTGGAGCGGCTGAGCGAGACCTCGGGTGGGATGTTTGTAGGGCTCCTGACCTTTCTGCTCTCTTTCTACTTAATTTTCACCAATGAGGTAAGATGTTTGGAGCCTCACAAGGCCAGGTAGGAAGGGCAATGGATCCAAAGGCTGGATTTGGTAGTAACGGGCCTAGATTTTATAGAAGAGAAAGAGGAATGATGAATGAATCAGAACTCTTTCTGTTGTGACCCACCTCATGACTAATGTAATCAAAAAGAGGAATGAATCCCTGCTTCAGGTGTGGCTGGATACAGGTGTTGATGCTGAGTCACCAGGAATCCCATTTCTTCATCTCTTGCCTTTTTTACTGTGTTGGGGCGTTGTTCTTGGGCAGACTCTTCCTTTATGGTGGTAAATTTGGCCCCAGCAACTCCAGGCTCAATATCAGAGTAGCTTAGAGACTCTCAAAAAAGAGTAACCTTCTCTGCATCCGTTAGCAAAAGTTGCAGAGAGGGCTCTCAGTGTCCTGGTTTGAGGCTTGGTCCTCTGAGCCAGTCCTGTAGCCTGGGACCCGTGTTCTAATTGGTGAAGCCTGGGTCACATGATTTGGACAGCAGTTCACGTTGGCCTGTGTAAACCACATGGACTGAGAGCAGGGAAGAGTAGAAGGCAGAGGGAAATGGAGGGAAGGGTACAGAGCAGCAGAAACACCAGCTATTCCCAACATGGGGGCAGTGCTGAGACTGGTGGGACAGTGAGAACCACTAGGGTAGTGGGAAGTACCTAGGAAAGCAAGAATCCTAGGTTCCAATCCTGACTCTGCTCTTGCTGGACCTCAGTTTTCCAACAGTAAAATGGGGAGATGGCTCTCTGCAACCTGAGACCCCTCCTTCCCTGATACTCTGTAACAAACCCAAGTGTTGAGCTGTTCCTGAGTTGCTGAAATCCTCCTCCACTTTGCTCACAGGGCCGTGCGCTGAAGACAGCAACCTCTCTGGCAGAGGGGCTCTCGCTTGTGGTGTCCCCCGACAGCATCCATGTAGTGGCCCCAGAGAACGAAGGGAGATTGGTGCATATCATTGGGGCCCTGCGGACGTCCAAGGTAGGCTTGGCAGAGGTCGCTGACCACCAGTGCTCAGGGAGGGGCCTTGGAAACAGATGACGTGGGTGTGATTCCTTACTCCACTCCACAGCTGCGTAGACTCTTCACTTCTTAGTCTGCATCCTCATCTGTGAAACAGATGGTAATGGTAACAGGCCGATGGCCAGTTTTAAAGCCTTGGTAGGATTAGGTTGCCCGCCTGTTGGGCACGTGGTATGAACTTCACAAGCAGGCACTGTCGTGATTACGATGAGCACGTAACTGCTCTGGTTATCAGAGTTCTGCTGTTACGTGAACACCCGCACATTGTTGCTGACATGATGCTGCTGGGCCACGAAGCCTGGCCCTGTACTCTGAGGGCCTTGGTCATGAGCATTAAGTCTTAAGGACTTGGAACGTGCAGTGTCACTGGATTCTCCCATGTGTGGCAGCTATGGAGTTCTCACTCCTAGCCCCCTTCTCTACGTTTCTTTTCCAGTCTGGCTTCCCCTGGGCCGAGGATTCTGGACTGATGTTAGTCTTATCTTTATTTTTTTGGTTTGTCTGATTTCTTTTGAAGCTCTTGTCTGATCCAAACTACGGGGTCCATCTTCCAGCTGTGAAGTTGCGGCGGCATGTGGAGATGTACCAGTGGGTAGAAACTGAAGAGTCCAGGTGAGGGCCCAGAAAGTGAAAAACCAGTTGAGGGTAAAGGAGATGTAGGCATTAGGATAAAATGCAGTGGTTTTCATGTTGACACCTCTGAAATTCAAAGTATAGAGTCTTCCTATCAGACAAAAAATGTCAAGTTATCCAATTAGTTGCCAATCTTTTATTTGGAGAGGACAAAAAATCAAATGCAGAGTGGCTCAGAGTAAGCAGAAAAGGGGATTGATAGATGACCTCTCATTTGGGACATGCCGGGCATGCACGAGTCTGAATCCAGGCCTTATACCATTGTCACTAGGATCCTTGCCCTCCTACCGCCAGTCTCTGTGCTCTGCTTGCCTGTGTTGGTCCCTTCTTCTATCCCACAGTGGGCTCACATCCTACCAAAAATCTCAGAGCAGGCTCTCAGTGGCCAGGGCAGTTCACCTGGAGCCAGGACCAGGCTCAGTGTCACCTTACCACATGGCCTGTGAATGAGGGATAGAAGGGAGTGGCTAGAAGAGGCAGATGGGCAGCCTCGGGGCCCTCTCCACGGCTGTCTGGAGCTGAGGGTACAGCTAGATCTCAGCTGGAGGTCAGGGCTGGGCCCCCTGGCATGAGTCAGGTAGAGCCTGCAGCCAGACCTTCAAGGGACAGTGTCTGCGTGTGTGTGGGTCGGGAGGAGAGGAGGAATCTCCTCTGCAGATGAGACTTCTGCTCTGTTGGGGAGTTGGGCCCTAACGTCGCTTCCATGTAGAGATACCTAGAGACAAGAAGGCCTCGAAGAGCCTGGGCCTGACTGGTGGCTGCCTGTCCTTTCTCTGCAGGGAGTACACAGAGGACGGGCAGGTGAAGAAGGAGACGAGGTACTCCTACAGTGAGTACCAGGCCCCTCCAAGACCACCATGCTCACATGTGGTCTCTGCTCATCCTGATGCAGCAGTGAGCAGGACAGCCATGGGAGGGGCACAGAGCAGACACTGGACTCCTTAGGTTCTTGTCCTCCAAATCCTGAACTCCTGCCCATCCAGGGAAACTCCAGGAGCTGTCCTCCTAACCCCCAAGCATCACAGGCTCAATTAAAAGGACCAGGGCCAGTGGACCTCAGCTACATGTCCACCCTTACCCTGGTTTCTAAATTGTTCCCTTTCTCCAAACAGACACCGAATGGAGGTCAGAAATCATCAGCAGCAAAAACTTTGACCGAGAGATTGGCCACAAAAACCCTAGGTGAGCCAGACCTGGGCCTACGCCCAGACTTGCCCACCACCAGCAGGGCTCCAGCCTGTTTCTTCATCTGCAAAATGGATTGAGTCAGTCCTGCCTCACAGAGTGGTGAAAACATGGGCCTAGGTTTCGAGGCCAAGTCCTGTGCTGGAGCAGAGCAAGACTCAACCCTTATTGGCCCCAGATAAGCTCCCTAAAAGTCACCAAGTCTTCATCATGCGAGGCTGGACGAAGGGCCTGAAAGGAAGCATTTTGTCAGTGGTCAGCCGCCAGTGAGGAGGTCATGCAGAAGGCTCACAGGCAGTGGCATTTGATCTGGCCTTAGGATTCCACAGTGGGTCATCTTCACACCATGGGGTGGTAACTCACTTGGGCATGGCTGGAGCATGGGCTGTGTACAGCAGTGGTCAGGGATTCACCAGGAAGACAGTCAGGAGCTAGAATGCTCCCTAGACTAGAAGGGGACATCAAGGGATGTGAAGTCCCATCTGATTGTCAGTGGGGTGGACAGACTGGCATGGGTCTAAGAAAAAGGGTATTGAAGCCCTGGGAGACAGGGACAGAGTGAGGGTGCTTTACCCAGGGCAGGGAGAATGGGAGTCCCAGGGGTGGTAAAGATAAGATGTCTACAACATCTGGGCAAGTCTGGACTTGCAGGAATCCCTGGGTGAGGGCTCCCCAGTATAAACAACCCAGAGAGACCCTGCAGCTTCAATCCCAGTGCTCTGACACTGTTGGTTCTTTCTCCTTGACAGTGCCATGGCAGTGGAGTCATTCACAGCAACAGCCCCCTTTGTCCAAATTGGCAGGTTTTTCCTCTCAGCAGGTAAGTCTTAGGCCCTTCCTGTGAGCCAGTGACAGCCCAGAGGCCCTGGGGCCAGAGCCCCCAGTATTCAGCCCTCAGGTACCAGAGGCAAGGATGAGCTGGTCCCCATCACATCATACTTGGAGCTGAGGGGTGCAGAGGGAAGGCAAATTCTCAGGGGGTAAAGGCTTGGGGCAGAACCCCAATCCCTACTCACCAGGTTCCTCTGAAATAGTTATTCCAGAGAACACCCCAGGTACTACGCCCTATCCTGCTGCTGGGCTTGTCTGTTCTGAACAGATCTCATGCCAGACAGTTCCTCAAGCCACGTCAGGCCAAGAGTGGAAATAAAGACACTGCCTTTGACTCCCTGCAGCTGGGAAGCCCTACCTGGTGTCCAGCTCTGTGCCAGGAGGGTGGCACATCACAGATTCCTAAGTGACTCCAAAGAAGCTTTTAGGGGACAAGGTGGTGCCATTCCTGGGGCACCACCTTGCGATCCAAATAGCCAATAGATATTTGCGATCCAAATAGCCAAGGTGAGGGAGAACAGGTGGTCACTTAGGGATTGGCCTAACCACCCTATCAGCTCTGCTACTCAGCTGTCAGTCCAGGAGGACAGCCCAGCTTGGATGTGGAGACCTATAATATCAGGTGGAATAGGCAAAAGCCAATGCTGTTCTTAGAGCTGGGGCCAGTCTAATTTGGCAGGGAGAGGGCATGGATGCTTTCCTGAAGGGGATGGTGACTGAGATGAGTTGACATGGGTACAGGGAAGCTCTGGAAGAGGTAGAATCAGAAGAGAGCTCCATCTGGCCATGGTGGTACATGCCTGTAATCCCAGCACTTGGGAGGCTAAGGCAGGAGAACCTCAAACTCTAGGCCAACCTGTGCTATATAAGCAAGACCCCGTCTCAGAAAAGGAAAAAAAAAAAAGGGAGGGAAAAGGAGAAGGAAGCCTCAGGACATGGGCTGAGTGAAGGCAGTGTGGCTAGGCTGTGAGAGTGTGGTGGGGTGGTGGGGAGGTGTCAGGCTGCAGGGTTTGCAGATTGGAGGTTCTCAGTGGACCCATGTTTTCTACCCACTCTGCTTCTCTCAGGCCTCATTGACAAGATTGACAACTTCAAGCCACTGAGCCTGTCTAAGCTGGAAGACCCGCATGTGGACATCCTTCGCAGGGGAGACTACTTCTACCACAGTGAAAACCCCAAGTATCCAGAGGTACATAGAGAGGCATGGGCTGTTCACATGGCAGAGCCTTAGAGTGGGCACAAGGAAGCTCTGTACCAAGGGCCACACTCAGGCGAGTTCAGTTCAGCTGAATGCAGACCGTGCTAAGCCACCAGGCATTGGAGGTAGAAGAGGGCCTTCTAGGTGACAGGACAGCCTGGGCAAAGTTGCAGAGAGGGAAAAGAGCAAGGTGCTTAGATTTGATGATGTGGACCCAGGCCCAGGCTGGCTGCTCCCTAACTTTCTCTGCTCACTTCTCTTCCACCTCTACCCCCAGGTTGGCGATCTGCGTGTATACTTTTCCTATGCAGGACTGAGCAGTGATGATCCTGACCTGGGCCCAGCTCATGTGGTAAGCTGGCTTCCCTTGGGCCAACTCCAAGTCAGGGCTTCATGACTTCCATAGGTGCAGACACCTGGGAGAATTTCCTGAACACTTTGCACATGCAATCAGGCATGCTTTTGAAGGGTTCCAGAAGCCTTCGTTCCCCAAAACCATCCCACCACTCCAAGCTAAAAACTGAAGTTCTAGAGAGATCTATCTCATATTACACCTGATTGCTGACAGTCACATACAGCCTCTTTCTTCCAACACCAATTTTGGTCTTTTTTTTTTTTTGGTGGTACTGGGTTTTGAACTTAAGGCCTCATGTTGTACCATTTGAGTCACTCCACCAGCACTCCCAACCAGATTTTTTGATCTGTAAATTCTTGGTCTTGGTTCCTGAACCTGAATATATAGCCAGGAACTCTATCCCAGAGCCTGACCTAGAAAGGTGGCAGAGAAGACATTTAGGGCCCAGGTAGCCAAGGTGAGGGAAAGGTGGGCGGCCCAGGGCTTGTCCTGGCCACCCAGTCTGCTCTGCCACTCAGCTTGTCCCTGCTATGGTCACTGGGTCCTTCACACTAGTAACTCTCAGTCTGGGAGGGTAACCCTGCCCTGCCATGTAAAGTTCTGTACCAGCCCTTGCTGTGCCTTAACATGGGCTTCTGCCAAGGTCCTCCTGAGAGCTTAGAATGAAGTAGCTCAAGCCAGATTTCCAGGGACCACTGCACCCTGGCTAGCACTATGGAGACAGGCTTCAGGGGCTTCTTATTTGCAACCCTGGTTGGCACAGAGTCCCAGGAAGTGGGCTGTGGGTCTCACCTATATTCCTGTCCATCCCGTCCCTCCCCTCAGCTCTCACACTGATTTCTACCCAGGTCACTGTGATTGCCCGGCAACGGGGTGACCAGCTAGTCCCATATTCCACCAAGTCTGGGGACACCTTGCTGCTCCTGCACCATGGGGACTTCTCAGCAGAGGTGAGTTGCTGCTGCCCTGCCTGTATGGTAGAAGAATAGGCATGTCCTGCCCCTCTTTCTTGTGGCTATAAGAAGCTGCCACCCCTAGGGATCACAGCTGATGCAGTGCTGGAAGAAAAAGACCTAGAGGGACACCAGAGTCCTCTGTGCAGGGCTGTGAGCAGAACCCTCTGCCCTCTCAGGAGAAAGAGTCAGGAAGACTAGGGAGTCACAGCAGGCTGTTGACAATGATACAAAGGGGCAGCATCTGCTCAGATGTGAAGGTCATTTCATAGAAAATCAGTGCTCCATTTGGGGCTTCTCTGACAAGTGACATTCTTGCTGAGACCCACACGAAGAAGAGGGTCCACCATGGAAGAACTGGCAGCCAAGCAGGAAAAGGTTTACCTCAACAGAGGGCAGCAGGAGTGCAGGAGGGCGATGAAGAGGCACCCCCTCCTCCTGCAGGAGCATCAGGAAAGCAATGAAAGGTTCAGAGCTGGAGTGTGGGGGAGCACCCTGCAGACAAGACAGTCCTCACAGCCATTCGGGTGTGCTTTCTCCATCTATAAAAAGGGAAGGTCATGCCTCACCCAGTGCCAAGGAGGAGGGATGCAAAGACATGCTGAGTAGCTCCACTCCCTGCCTTCAAAGTTAGCCTTTCTTATGGGCAAGAAGAAAAATGCGATGTTGATTCTTCCTGGATGGTAAACCCAAAGCAGTCATCAGGGATTAGCTATGACCCTTTCGTTCCTATTATTGGGCCCTCACCTGCCCTCTGTCTGTCCATCTCGTTAGTTTGTCACTCCTTGCACCTGGCAAGAATGAGGTGTGGTAAGGTTGTTTCACGGTTTGGTTACCAGACTCGGTGGGGCTTCCACTTCCCAGGCTGATGGGTCATGAGTCACCCTAGGGACTTTCTAAAATTAGGAGGCCCCTGTTCTCTCTCCCAGAGCTCTTGCCCAGCTGTAGGCTTGCAGCCTTCTCAGGCACTCTCACTCAGGTCTCAGAGCTGCCCCCAGAGAGTGGTGGGTGAGCCCCGTGGTTACCTAACTCCCCCGGAAGGCCATCTCTGCCATTGTAGATAGGCACTCAGCCCTGAGAGGAAACCCGGGCCCCAAAGTCTAGATGCCAGGACTCTGGTGCCAAGGCAGGAGAGTGCAAGGGCCCAGGTGAGGACATCATGCATTATGCCTCAGCCCAAGCCTCTTACCTGCTATAGACCTTGACCTGTCATCTTATCCTCTCTGAGCCTGTTTCCTCACCTGTAAAATGCAAATGTTCAAAGTGTTATCCCCATCATTGTTGTCCCTGCCTTATTTGATTGCTGTTCATTCGCTCATCACATTTTTATTGAGCACAAGGGGATATCACAGACATGGTCCCTAATTTCAGGAACTTTAGGTTAGTTAACTGCCTATAGTGAGACTGTGGGCATGTTACTGAGGCCCTCAGGGCCTCATTTTCTCATCTGTAAAGTGGCAAGAAGTGTTCTAGCTCACCGAGTTATTCTGAGGATCAAGTAAGAACCTGTAAATACTTCACTCTAGCTTTTGACAGCGATACATAAATATTAAGCAATAAATGTTACCTAGTTTTATTGTTAGTGTTATTGTTAGCGTTACAGATTTTGACAGGTTCTTGAAGAAATGACATTTGAGCTAAGACTGAAAGCAAGTGCAGAGCTGTCCAGGCACAGTTGCGGGCAGAAGCATTGTAGGCAGAGCAACTGCAAGTGCAAAGGCCCAGAGGTGACAGGACATTTGACCTGGCCTCAGCTCAGGCAGCAATCAGGAGGTGGTGGAGGTCTCAGCGGGTAGCTGTGTGAGGAACATAGTAGGCTGAGAAAGCAGGGAGGACATTGATGGGAGGCTAGTGCAAGGTCAGGTGAGGGATGGCAGTGGTGAAGATTAGGGGTAGACAGTGGTGAGAGACTTGGAGAATGTGGGTGCAGAGGCAGCTTATGCAACTTGTGATGGCCCAAACTGACATGGCAAGGGGAGGAGTGGGCCACATCTGACCCCCAGGTTTCAGCGTGTGCAGGTGGGTGACCAGAGGTTCCGTTTGCTGAACTGAAGAAGATGGAGGGAGAAGCGGGTTGGGGTGGAGGCCTCAGTATTGTGCCTGGCTTGTCAAGATGCCAGGTGGAGACATCCAGGAGTCACAGGCTGGGTGGCCGAAAGCATTGCTGGAGCTGCAGCACTGTGTTTGAGGGTCACAGGTGGATGGGGACCACAGAGATGCATGGGGGGCCCTGGGCAGGGTGGAGAGAAGAACCAAAGAATTTTAGCACTTAAGAGGCCAGGACGAGGGGTGGGAACAAGAGTGGAGACAGCAGCAGCAGCCTGGGGAGTAGGACAAGGACTGGGAGGGTGAGGTGTCCGCAAAGCCAGTATTCCAGTCAGTGAAGAACATACAGTGTGTTCAGCCCATAGCCAGAATGCACCCTCACGTCACCTGCTCAGGGAGAGTGGACAATAAAGGAGGGTGAGGTCAGGAGCTGAGCTCTCCCTGACAAGAGCTCATACCTTCCACAAGATGTCTCTGGCCACCCTGTTCCATGCTGGGTGGGTAGCATTTAGATGCGGGTAGGAGGTTTGACTATCTCCCTATAGTCTGTTCAGCTCCTGAGTTAGCACAGCCCCCTCAGTAGCCACCCTGTCTGCTGGTGAACCCCTCAGAGTCCTGACACCACTCTTCTTTGTCCTGCAGGAGGTGTTTCGCAGAGAACAAAAGAGCAACTCCATGAAGACCTGGGGCCTGCGGGCAGCTGGCTGGATGGCCATGTTCATGGGCCTCAACCTCATGACACGGATCGTCTATACCCTGGGTATGTGTGGAGAGGGGGGATGGGAGAGCCTGCCCTTTCTTGCAGCCCCTGTGCTTGTCTGACTCTCACCTGTGAGCCTTTCTAGCCTGATGGGGCACAGACCAGGTATTTGGCCTGTGTCCCCATGTGCTGGCTTTGGAGTAAGTAAGTGGAAAAAGGTGATGAGAGGGACAATATGCCACTATGGGCAGGGTGGACCACCCCCCGGAGGTGGTCTGGCTTCCATGATCTGAAGATCTGCCCTCTCCTTCACTCCACAGTTGAGTAGCCATGGTGAGGAGGCTGGCCAGCCTTTGGAGGGAGCAAGGGCTCCATTTGAAATCTGTTACATCAGAACTCTGATACTTAAGGCCCTTTTGTTTCCTGCCCAAGTTTCCCTTCCTCACACCTACCTACCTTGGAGTTTTTCATGGAATGTTTGGTAAATGTGAAGCCCTCAGAAACTCTTGTGCTTCCTCTCCAAAGCCTGAACCAGGTTTGGGGCAGCCAGCAAGTCTGGCCATAAGGGAGTATGTGTGGATCTGCTCACTTGGCCCAAGGCAGGCACCAGTAAGGCCAGCTAAATCCAAGTGACCTAGCCTGGTTTGAGACCCAGTGCCCAGGTTGTGGAATGTGTTCTGGGCTGAGATTGTTGGTGTAGGAGGAGGGGGACTCAAGAAACTTTCTACCCAAGGTTTATCCCAGTGTGTCCCTATGCCCAGCTCTGGATGCTAACAGAAGCCCATCTCACACTTACACTTACGGGCTGGGGAACAGTCTGGTAGCAGCACATCTTAGACCATCAAAGCTGGGGGACTGCCACCCTCATTTACAAATGGGAAAACTGAGGCCCTGGGACATGTTCTGAGCCTTTCTCTGGACAACTGAGTTGTGCTCAGAAATGCCAGCCACATCTTGGCATGTTAGGGAGCAGTAAGAATTTAAAACAGAATCCTCTGGCCAGCCATGTGACTGTAGACAGGCAGTTTCTCTCTGAGCCTCAATCCCTACACTGTCTGTCTCAGATGCCCTACTCCAGATGTGGCATCTGTGATTCCAATTCTTCCACACATGGGAGGCTGACACTCAGGCCAGACGCAGAGCATGGAGGGGCTCTCAGGAGCTGCAGCAGGACGCACACACGCATCCCTACTCATCAGTAAACTCTGAGCCCAGATGCTGCTCCAGGCCCAGGACCTGCCAAAGCGCAAGACAGTCAAGGCCCCATCCTCTGCAGGTTTAGGCTGAGCTCAGCTCTGACTCAGGCAGACCTGTCAATCCTGGCCTGCTTGAGTGTGCAGGAAACAGGGTTTTCGCCAACATTACAGGCGAGTGTCTTCCCTGGCCTCAAACTGATAGCAGCATGGACTTTAAAGTTTGCAAAGTACCGCCAGCTATCTCCTTTCCTGGGACAGGTGGCTCAGAGGCTGCGCCACCTCTCTTGGCCTCAGTGCTGTTTGTGACCCTCTTCTCACATGGTAGTGATGGTTCATTTTGGCCGAGATAGGAGGGGTTCTTTGAGGTGTGGCCTCATGGCCTTTCTTTTCTTCACAGTGGACTGGTTTCCTGTCTTCCGAGACCTGGTCAACATTGGCCTTAAAGCCTTTGCCTTCTGTATGGCAACCTCACTGACCCTGCTGACTGTGGCTGCTGGCTGGTTCTTCTACCGGCCCCTGTGGGCCCTCCTCTTCGGCTGCCTGGCCCTTGTGCCCATCATCATTGCCCGGACCCGGGTATCAGCCAAAAAGCTGGAATGAATGAGGCCCTGGCACTTGCCCAACACCTGCGTGAGCTTCGGGGTTCAGGTCTTCCCTTGCCTTTATCCAGCTCCATGCCAGAGCAGCCATCTGTAGCCTACTGTCTTCTTCAAGGGTCAGGTTTGGTGCTCACCAGTTCCCATCTTCCCCACCCCTTTTCTTGAAATATGCAGTTTTGGGTGGGCCGAAGCACTCAACGATGGTGACCCAACAAGCACTGTCTTCTTCATTTCCTCCCCTCCTAGCACCACATGGACATGGCAAATCCCATGTTTCATTTCACTCACCTGCTTTGTCAGCCCGAGACCAGCTGATGGGTCAGGGCTCAGCCTCATCACTAAAAACAAGTGTCAGGACTGCACATCCGTGACCCTAAAGGGCAGCCATCACCCTTTCCCGCTAAGCTGCACTGGATCGCCAAGACAGAGTCCACATCTACTGGTGAAGCAGATGCCCCCAAACTAAGTTTGCAGGTGGAACTTGATTTGGTACCTAAAAAACAAACACTGAAGGTGTCATGATGAAAAAAATGACATTTTGGGAGCTTCACACTTACGGCTTAGCAGAATCTATAGGTGTGCAAGCCCTTCACAGGCCCTGGCTTTCTGCACTACCTGGCTTATTCAGTGTTCTTTCCTACCCCAAGAAGGAACGGTCTGAGATTAGACTGAAAACAAGACAAAAACTCTCCTGAATAATTAACAGTGCAAACTGTTAGTGAACACACCCTTTAATCTGTCTTAATTCATAGCCCATCAAACTGAACTGGGAAGCTTTGCAGTGCTTCTAAAACAAATGTTCGTTAAAAGGACTTGTTTTCACTCTGGGCAGGGATGGGGAAGTTGGAAAGCGGGGGTGGGAAGCATTTTCTTTCATCCTCTGACATCAGAAACTACCTGTTCACTTGAAGATGTGAGTTTTTAGTCAACCATTAAAGGAAAAGGCTGAAAAGTTGTAATATGAAGAAGAGCTTAGTAGTGGTCTTCTGCATGGTGATCCCCTAGTCTACCAAAACCAACAAAGGACTAAGGCTTGGGAAACCAGCCTCAAAGTGTTTGCTTAAAAAGTGCTTCTCACGTTTCATGTTCATCACGTTATGTCCTAAATGAAATTCACCCACCCTTAATTCACAGAATTTCTAAGTTTCCCAACTACTCATATACCCTTTGAAAGTACGCCATAACCTTGACAGATGTCTTAACAGTCTTTGTGCACCCTACTGTCCTTTATATTTGCAAATTGTTCTCCCCTTGCTGGGAGTGGGTGCTTTGGCAACAAAGTATTTGAAAGCTGAATAAGAGGTCAGAACTTCTGCTATTAGTGATCTGTAATAGTCCTCATTGTCCTGGGATATCTGCGCTGCATGTTTGGGTTCTTCATGTTAAAAACATAGCCAGCTCCAGAGATGACTTCTTTGGGTTTAGGATTCAAACAGTATTCGCTACTGCTTATTGCAAACTGATGAGTATCATCAAATCTCTAAACTTGTAAAGGATGCTTTTGGAAAACAGACGCGTTATAATTAGATTACAGCTAAGTATAAAACCCTTGGGTCTTAGTTTGTATCATTTTTGTATGTGGATTTTACCTGCCAATTTTAAAAGTGGTCTTAAGAGCAATGTTAAAATGTTCAAAATGTTCAAAGCAATTTGAAGACTTTGAAAAACCACCGTGAAATTTGTATTATCTTTGTATATTTTTCAGAAAAATTCAAAATAAATTTTTACATCTTTTGGTATAGGAACTTGCTGTTAGCCTGTGTTTGGTTTTGAAGTTGGCGGGGGAGGGTTGTTACTACATTCCTTTAAAGAATTCAGCCAGCCATTAAAAAAAATTTAAGAGAAAAAAAAAAATCAGCCATCAAATTTATTAGGAACTATATGAATTTTAATGAATTCAGTTCTAAGTTGCTTTTAGTGGTTAAAATAGGATTCAATTTTTTAATAGAAATTTTTAATTTTTTTGGTGATAAAGGGGTTTGTGCTAGGTAGGCAGATGCTCTACTGTATGAGCCGCACCTCCAGCCAAAATAGGTTTCAAGTCTTTAAAAAAAGGGCAACTCAATATTCCTAGCATTTATGATTCCTAGCACCTACTTTGTTTTGGCTCTAAAGTGAATGACTAATCTTTGTGAACCTACAGAACGTGCAAGAAAAGGCGGAAATATACAGTGCAAAAGGCACTGGCTTTGAAGTGGCACACAGTGGAAGTCTGCCATTGATTAGCTCACAATGTTGGGCAAATCAAAGATCTCAGCCTCAGTTTCATCTGTATAGAGTCATCATGGGACTAAATGAGATAAACCCCATGAAATGCTAATGCATCTGGCACTTAGCTCTTCATTCATTTTCCTTCCTGTTCTGAAGCAGTGACTGCTGACTCTGAAGCTAGCAGAATGGCATGCGCTTATATTATATTTTGTTACAGGAAGATGAGTGGTAATTTTCCAAAACTTCTCATATTTCTCAAAACCTAGTTTCATTTTATTTCCATAATACTTCCTGGTAGCTGACATGCCTGAGTAGGTTATTTCTGCAGAAACATGGCCATACTCTGGTCTCAAACCCCCGGAAGCTTGTCAGGCTCTGGTGCAGGAACTGTGAGAATGCCATTTCCACAGCAACCCCAGCCTGTTTGGCCCAGCCAGACTCTTGCTGCATGAGTCATACCCCAAGTGTTTTGCTTCTCTTCAGTAAAAGTTACTCAGAGTTTCACCAGCTCCTCTCAAAAGATTAAGTAATATCTCCTTGCTTAGACATACAAAGAAAAAATATTGCTTGTGTTTAATAATGAGTTCCCAGCCTTTATGAGAACAAAATGGAAGCTTTCGTGAAGTCTCAACATGCATATAAATCACTGTTACCTGTTATCACTGTGAGCTGATGTAAAATATGAAAGTATAGTCAAGTCTTTTTTAGAGAAATGCTTTATTTTTTTCTCAAAATGTTAAAATGTTATAAAAAATAATTTCTCCTGAATATTTATAGCACATAGAGTTTTCTAAACTTATCCGGTAATGAATAAAATGTAGTTTAGCACGGATCCATTTTTACTGCCCTTTCCTTAATTCTCAATTACTTTTCCACTTCTTTCCTGATTTCAGCTCTTTGTTCTAGTCTTCTGCCATCACAAAATGTTACTTCAAAAAATAGATCCCAGCTTGCCCTGATCTGAGATGACCTGTAGTTCTCATTGCTCTCTTGCCAACTACAAAGAGGCAGCATTGGGCAATATTAGGAAAACTTATTCAGGAAAATTAAGTGGCCTGCAGAGAAAAGATCCTAGGTTCACAGGAAAGGTGAGAGCACAAGTGTCTGAGGAATGAAGACTCTAGCTGTATACAAGGATTGAAGACCAGAAGTGTCCCAGCAATTTTTTTTTTTTAAATTTCCAAAGATGGGAAGAACAGGTCTGGGGTGAGGACACTGTCTCTCACAGAAGTGTTCCATAGCACAAAAAGTGGATTTTGGTAAAAAGAAAAGCTTTAATAGCCCCAACCCAGGTGTATCTGGTGAGGACTGGGGCCAGACTGATCTGCAACATAACTTCAACTTGCCCCTGGGTACCCTGGCCTGTATTTGCAGTTCATGCTGCTCTGTCTACCTCCTCAGCAGGGAAAGATACCACCACCCATGCCTAATGGAGGAACATGACCTTGAGGCTCAGGTCACAGCTTCTCAAACGGGAACAGGTGCACAGCAGCTGCTTTCCTCCGCCTTCTAGTAGTCTTGGGGCACTCCGGCGCCTGCTCCTCTTCTGTTTTTCGGTTTTGAGGCCATGAGGCAGCCAGGATCTTGGCTGCCTCTGCTTGTGAGCTGGTCCCCTCCTCTTCGTCAGAAGAGAGTCCACCTCCCGCATCTGCATGGGGAGCTACTGCCTCGCTCTGGAAGGGGGACAGAGGGAACCATGGGTCATGGTCAGCAACTGGCTACTAAGAAGCACCTTCAAGAGACAGCAATGCTCCTGGCAAGCTGCCCCAGCCCACGCCTGCCCTGAGCCATGTGAGGTGGAGGACAGGGCATTGCCTATGCCCAGGCAGGAGCCCTTCAAGGGCTGCATGTTGATTCACACCTGTGTCCCCAGCCAGGGCTGGTGCATGGTAGGTACTACAAGAGATGTAGTGAGGAAGCACATCCAAGCCCAAAGGTGACTATAGGCACTGGGCTTACTGGAAGCTAAGAGTGGTGCAACAAGCACAGGAAGCCCAGTGCACAGCAAATCAGCCCCACAGCAGGTGCTCATTAGTAGTTAAGGGCATGCAGGGCCGAAAGACAGGCATCATAACTTAAAAGCCATTTATAGCTTGATGTCAGCAGAATCAAGGCCAGTAACTTCTGAATGAAAACCCTAGGAATCTGACTCCAGGCTTATTTCCTTTGCAAAGACTCCACACTGACCTTAGCCCCATAGCGAAGTTTCAGCCGCTCCCTGATGAGCAGTCCTTTGACCAGCAGCTTCCAGTTCCCCAGAGCCCGTTTTTCCCTCTTCTGCAGGCAGAAACCCAGTGGGAAGAAATATTAAGCACTGACATCTTCAATTAAGATGTCACCTGGGAGGATGAAGCCATGGCTTGAGTGGTAGAACGTCTGCCTAGCAAGCACAAAGCCCTGAATTCAACAACCATACCATCAAAAATATGCAACCTGAGAAAATACATACATATATATGCAGTTGTAAGTTAAAAAGATATAGTCTTGCAATCATATCAAGTCTCATTAAAAAAAAAAAAAACTGGTCTAATTTAGAAAATGACATACTTAAAAGCCACAAAAAAACCCAACCCTTTTTGTGTATGTGGTACTGGGGTTTGAACTCAGGGCCTCACGCTTGCCAGGCAGGCACTCCACCACTTGAGCCATTCCACCAGCCCTGCTTTGTGTTGGGTATTTTTGAGATAGGGTCTCAGGAACTATTTGCCTGCCCAGGCTGATTTCAAACCATGGTCCTCCTGATCTCTGCTTCCAGAGTAGCTAAGATTACAGGCGTGAGCCACCAGAGCCTGGCAACAGAACCCTCTTTTGAATAGTTACTGCCTCTGAAATTCTCAGTAGATAAGGTCTAGAACCTGGACCTGGGGAAATTCCTTTCAAGGCAGGGGCAGGTGTTAGCCACAGAGGCAGCAGTCCCTGGAGCCAAGATGTGGCCAGGATAAAGTGGATGTGGAGGGGCGGGAAGGTGTCTGTTTTACCCATGCTCACTCCCTCCCTAGGGCACCTTCCATGAAGTGAGAGGGCCAGAAGAACTTTAGAACACATGGACCCAGCCCATCTCTTTCTATGGTATAAGAGTGGCCTGGGCAGGGGACAGATGCTCCCCAGCTATGTACTTGCTCTCCTCCTCCCTTCCCCCAGGTCCTGATCACACTGCTCACCTCCTTCTCCTTCTTTTCAATGAGTGCCTGCTCATTTTCCCAGGCGCTCAGGAGCACATCTTTGAACTCCTCACAGATGATGTACCCATCAGTTCTGTGGAGACACAACACAGATAACCTTCCTTCGGCCTGCCACCTGCCCTACCCCTCTTTTTCCCCTTTTAAGAAGTCAGTGGGCCCATCTGAGCACTAGGGAGCCCCGATGGATATCCCAGGCCTGCCAGTGCCAGACACCACCCATACAGAAGACAGGCCTGTGGGAACCCACATCTCTTCCTCTCCAGAGCCAGGGATGGGGTGAGAGGCCCCTATTCTACAGAGGGCAGAACTCAGTAGCCAGGAAGGATGCTGACCCTGCTCTGGTCACCAGCCTGTGACCACCCCTAGGTAACAGTGTTCTAATGCAGCATTAGTAAGATGGTGGTTTCATTGGTTTTGTTGCTCTGGACAGAAGCCAGTATTGGTCAAGTGCTAAAGCTGACTTTAAACCCAGAGTCAAATCTTGAAAATATGAGCCACCAGGCCTTGGCCCAATACTAGCTTTGCACCCTCTCCTCCATGGCTTCCCGGCCCTCTTTCGAAAGCCCCTCCCGCACACAGGGTGGGAGTAGCCTCCATGGAAATCGAAGCCAGTGATGGCCTGGACACAGTCAATGTTCAGCTTGCGGGCCACACGGTGCAGATTGGGCAAGTTCAGCTGGACACAGCCGACAGGCATCATGCTGGGCAGGAAGAGGTACACATTCCCAAATTCATTCCGTGGCACCTGCAGAGGGTGGGCACAGGAGGATGTGGTCAGCCGGAGGACAGGCAGCCTGGTTCTGACCCATCTAGTGTGACCCTTACCTTGCCATCCACAGCTACGGGGGGCTGATACTCCTCTGTCTGCCAGTGGCCAAACAGGCCCAGGTCATTATGGTCTTGCAGGTGGGGCTCAGCAAGCCGGGCCTTCCGGGCTCGGTTGGAATAGCCTTTCACCATCTACTCCAGAGCAAACAGCCAGTTTACAACAAAGGCTTCTGACCACTTAGTCTACACCAGGTGCTATGCTCACTGCTGTTGGTTCATTCAATTTCCTCAGCAAACCTGGGAGATGGGTGGGCTTCTAACCTTCCTATGACTAGAGTACCAGCCAGCATTTATAGACCACTCACCATCCCAGGCACTATTCTGGTATAAGTTATTAATCTTTTCAGTAAACCAAGAGGTAGGTCACCTTATTCTCTCCATTTTACAGATAAGCATCCTAGGAGGGGAAGGATCCACCTAAAGTCACAGCTTGTAAAGGCCAAGGCCTAATGCTTTTAGTCATTGTCCTGTGTTCTGTACTTCCATCACTGACAGAGAAAGCGGACCTTAGATAAAGTCGCTTACTTAGGGTACCAGGACTACAGGCAGCAAACCCAGACAACTGTCCACCACTATCCAACCTCAAATAAACTATGGAAAGCACTGACCACTTAGGACCCCCAGCACATAACATACATCTGATGGCCAAAACCTAGATTTTCCCTGGGGAGTTAAGGGGTGAAAGGACTAGAGGACTGGCAAAGAGAGATGGTTGCATAACTCTTATATGAGCAGAGGTGGCACGGGGCTAAGGACTAGCTTCTGGGCCTGGGAAAACAAATTTCCTCTAGTGCAGGGATCAGCAAGCTTTTCTGCTTAAGGGTCACATGTGGCCTCTGTGATATTCTTTATCCATTTCCTTTTTTACAACACTTTAATATTCTGAGATCGAGAGCCCTACCAAAACAAGACACAGATTGGATATGACCTGTGAGCTGCAGTTTGCTGATCCCTGCTTTCATGTCTGTTCCTGCCATGGTCTTCAAGTATACCCTATTACCCCTGTGGGGCTCAAGGGACTCTGGGTTCTCATGGTCCCTTTGTGAGAAAGCCAATCATCTAAAACTGTTCACTAAATAGCCACTAAGAATGCCACCAGTCACTGGGGCAGACAGGGAAGGGGCAAGTCCTTGCCCTGAGGGAGCTTGAGCCCCTGTGAGGAAAGCATAAAAAGTACAGGGTAGAATGGGAACTTGGAGGTGGCTCCTCTGACAACCAGGGACAGAGAAGGAAAAGAAAGGCCGCTCAAAGACTGGGGATGCAGCTCAGTTGTACAGCATTTGCTTAGCATGCGCAAGGCCCTAGATTCAACCATCTGCACCACAGGAAGAAAGGAAAGAAAGGAAAGGAAAAAGGGGAAAGGGAAAGGGAGGGGGAGATGAGGCAGAGGGGAGGGGTGGACAGGGAAGAAGAAAGGCTGCTAGAGCAGATCATATGAGCTGAAGTTTAAAGGAAATAGAGGGGTTGGTCAGGAGAGCATGGCTAGAGAGGAGGGCATTTGGGACCCACAGGGCACAGAAGTGTGAGAACACCTGTATCTGGGATTCAATGTGGTCTGAAATAGAGGAGGCAGGTGCCAGCGACATGTGGAAATGGAGGCCTCTAGCCTGAAAGTGACAGACAGCTGGGGCAGTGAGGGAGCAGGCTACGCACTAGCACTATTGCAGAAAGATCTGCACAAGTGCAATACAGAGAATGTAGTTACACTGGAGTTGCTATCCAAGAGATGTTGAAGCAGAAGCAGGAATGACAGAGTAAGAACAAAGGACGGATTTGAGAAAGCTAGGGTTTTTCCAGAATTGTGCTAAGACCACAGCTACCAGTCACTTTTGGGTAATCAACCCAGTCTGACCTAAGGTACTGAAAGTCACACACACAGAAGATTATGGAGATCAGTAAGAACAAAGTAAATTTAAAATATCCCGTTACTGTTTAAAAATATTCCTAAATATTTCTAACATGCTGAAGTGATAATATTTGGATATATTAGAATTACTGAAACATGTTAAGATACCACCTGCTTTTGTTTTTTAATGTGGTTAGTAAAAATGTGACTATGTGGCTCATATTATATTTTTACTGGGCAGTACTAGTCTAGAATGAAGAGACTGGCAATGTGATAAGGAACACAGAAAAAGGTGAGGAGGTCTAGGGCAAAGCACAGGTTCAGCAGGCTGCTCTATGCACTCAAACTGCTGCTGGCAGCACCTGCTACCCTCCCATTAAGCAAAGGCCCTCCGTCCCCAGTATTACAGCCACAAGGGCTCTTGGTGGGATGTGATAAAGAAGTAAATGCACCTCTGAGACCAGCCACTATATAGAGCTGGTTTAACTGAGACACAAGTTCTGAGAAAAGTCCATGGAATGCTGTGCTGAGTTCTTGTTGCTCATGGGCAACTGAACTAACAGCACCATGGCAGTGTTACATGCAGTTCTACTGCAGTAGAAGCAGGGCCTAGGATTCCTGCTGGGCTCTGGGTTTTACAAACTGTAGGGCCTTGGGTGGGTCATTTGCCTTTCTGAGCTGTTTTTCTCATCTGTAAAATGGGCATCATGGTGCCAATGCCTATATTATTGAGATTCAACAGAGACTACATACATTCAAAATACTTAATAAATTGTCAAACAGGGCAATCTGGTTGGCGCATATGTCTCTGAAGTAGGGCTTCACAGAGACACAGTTCCAGCCTGCAGGCCTTTGCACTCACAACAGGAGTCTACAGGCTGCATTCTCACCCAGATTTCTTGCATGTTTTCACCCCTCATTAATAAATAATTTAAATGCTCATATCCTCCTCAAAGAAGCAAGACATTCCTGCTTCCTATCCTTGGCATGCATGGGCAGCTTTGCATCCCACCCCTCCACCCATCCCCTTTTTTTTTGGCAATACTGGAGTTTGAACTCAGGGCTTTGCATCTATAAGCTAGGCATCTATCACCCCAAATCCACTCCCAGCTTGAGTCCTGCAACCACCCCACCCTTGCTGCCAGACATCCTGCTCTGATTACCTTGTAGGGCACTTCTCCAAGCCGCACCACTCTTGCTTGTTTCAACCACGTGTCCTTGGAGTGCAGCGTGTGCACACAATCCCTACAGGTACAACATGGGTAGACAAAGGACAAACTCAGTCCACACCTGCCTATGGCAACACACTTCCTTAGTGCCTCATATGACTTTGTAGCAGTTAGAGAGCACTGCCCCACCGATTCTCTCCCCAGGCCCTGTCTTGCAGCAGGAACAGGCCCTGCTCCTAACAGACTCAGAGCAGTGTTAGGAAAACAACCTTTCACTTGGACTACTTGTCTCTGATGAGATGTGTCCACTTACAAACTACCCTGTGTGGAGCTGTTGTCGGCAGCTTCCTACCTTGCCTCTGTCACAGTGAGAGCTTCCTTTGCAGCCCAAGGAGGTGAAGTAAAGGCCACCACATGCAGGTATGAATGCCCACTGAGGGTCTGATCTGCTGCTAAACACCACGAGGGGAGAGACAAGTGTCTAGAAAAGGGGCAAAAGGGCTGCAGGCATGGTTCAAGTAGTACAAAGCCTGCCTAGCAAGCACAAGGCCACATACCTACATAACTTTTAAAAACAAAGACAGAAAAAAAAAATACAAAGCCAGAAAAGGGGGCAGTAAACCCAAAAGACGACTACACAGAACTACAAGAAGCTAATAAACCATCACAAAACTAAGATACATACACAATGAACAGTGAAATGATGCAGGGCAGTCTGTGATTCTGGGTAGAAAGCTTCTGACTCACTCTCCACCCTGAGCTCGGAGCTATACCTGAAAATCTACTTTCCAACAAAGCTCAACTCCTCCCTCACCAAGCCTTCTTTAGCAGGGCACACCACCTCTTCTTCAGTTTGCATCCCTAACTTCTTAGTGGGAATATGGGCTCCACCAAGCCAGGACATCAAGTTTCCTTCTGGTGCACACAGTGGGCCCTACTGACCCAGCAGTCTGAGGTGACCAGCAACACAGCATGTGGACACAACAGAATCCTGTCTGTGCCACATCCTAGCAGGGTGACCTGGACCACCTCTTCACCTTCCTAAGCCTCAGTAGCCTCATCCTTCAATGAGGGATGGTGAGTCCATCCTTTCTACCTTACACAGATGCTAGGACAGATTCTTTCTAAGTGCTGGAGCAGCACTTCTCTGTCAGTAGCATCCTGCTGTCAGAGCTGCAAAGCTCCAGCCACACTCCCACTGGAGGTGGACCATCTTTGATTCTCCAAAGGAGTGATTAAGTCACAGTCATGGTGTTCAGATATGAGCAGAGAACAGAGGTCAGAGGAGCTGGCAAGTAAGCATCGTTTGGACATTCTAAAAATTCCTGATTCTATTTTTCTTTTTTCCTCACCTCCAAATTATATTAATATTTCTTAAGTTTTTATTTTGTATATATCTTACATTTTTTTAAATTTACACCACTTTTTTTTGTCAATTTCTTACAGAACAAAATACACCATTTTAACAATTTGTGGCTTCATGTATACTCGCCATGCTGTGCAACCATGCCGTCACCCATTTCCAGAGCTTTTCACCATTCCACGCAGGCATCAGCACCCATTTAGATTACCTACCTACTCATTTTAACTCTTGTGATCAAATTCTTCATTCCTTCCTGTTTATTCTTAATTTGTAATATGTTTACTTGTCTTATTTTTTATTTTCCCCCCATCTTCTAATCCTTGTTTAATTCTAAAGAATCAGCTCTCCTTTACAGTCACACACACACACACACACACACACACACACTATAGTTTGCCCTGAAATGCTCTCACCAATGAGATGGGCCTATATTAGCAGCCCCTTGCCTAGAAAGAAGGCTGCTAATCCTGGACCATCAGGAAACCAGCAAGCTACCTCACACACCTGGAGTACACAGCTTCTCCACGACAATACCCAAGGATTGCCGCTGTCTCAGGGTAGATGGCCTCGTATTTCAGGAGGTGTCGCTTCAGGGCATACAGAGGGTGGTTCTTGTATGTGCCAATAGCAGTGGGCAAAGGCTGGTCCAGGTGCTTGGCCTGAAACTGCAAAGGTCAGACAACGTTGAGCATATCATCAGAAGTGAGGTTTGAGAGAACAACCTTTACACTAATTTGTTCTGACAACAGATGATAGAGCGCATATTCACAAACACTAGTGACTTTGTAATGCTGCACCGATAGCTCTGGCCATGAAGCTGGCTGTACCTCAAGTGAAAGCTATGAAGAATTAATTCTATGATTTGCAGCAACTTCCAAAAGTTACCTGACTTATTTCCAATCCTTAGAAACCTTAATCAGACCTTGCAGACCAGTGCCTGCTCTATTAAAAATCTTCAAGGAAGAAAACAAAGTATGAGTGTTCTTCCCTGAGGCAGCTTTATCTCAAAGTGAATCTTTGTTGAACAATGCAGCTCACTTGACTACTCTCACAGGAAACTGAAATGGGCTGTTCCTAGTCCACCATGATTAACAGTTCCACTCTGCATCTCTCTAAGGATTCTGAGGAACTGATAGGAAATCCTAGCACTGTGATCCAAATCCTGTTTATCAAACTCTCTTGTGCTTTACCTTAGCATCCCTTCAAAAACCCCAAGAGAGGGCTAGAGGCGTGGCTCAAGCAGTAGAGCACCTGCCTAGTAAGCGTGAAGCCCGGAGTTCAAACCCCTATACAGCCAAAAAAAGAGAGAAGAGATTAATAAGGACTGACAAGTGGGGAAGCTGAGAGGAGGGGACTCTGCAGGCTCAGCATCCACCGACAGATTAGTTAGCTTGGTTACAACCCCATCTGCATGATTCCCATTTAACCTGTCAGTACTAAATAAAGCAATCCAGGAACATCCCCAGGGCAAACTCAATGTTGAATGCAGTGCATCACTGTGAGCCATGCTGCGTAATCCCATGCTCTCCCTATCCTGAGTGACTAGAAATAAACCCTCAGCCAATGTGGGTAAGCTCCCATGCAGAAATGCAGAACTCACTCCACAGCACAACTGTGTACACGAGCACCTCAGGTCCTCCTCCCAGTGTCAGTGTTGGTTCTAGGACCAAGTGACACATCTATGTTATGCCTTAGAAGTCTCCGATTCCCAAAGTCCTTATTCCACGTCCCTCCCTTCCCAGGAGACAAGTGTTCTGTCAGGTGAGGGTGTGTGTGTGTGTGTGTGTGTGTGTGTGTGTGTGTGTGTGTGTGTGTGTGTGTGTGTGTGTGTGTGTTGTTCTGTCAGGTGAGGGTTATGTGTGTGTGTGTGTGTGTGTGTGTAAAATGAAGGGGCAATGACACACAGATACAGATGAGTTGTTTCTTCTTTCACTTAGTATGAGTTATCTGACTTACATAACGTATTTTAAAGCTCTAAATTTATAACTGGACAATAACTGAAAGTACAGACTTCAAAGCCTCACAGACCTGAGTTCAAATACCTAGTTGGTTAATCACTCAGGGATACCAACTTCACCAGTAAAACTGAGGCAATGATAACCCAAACTTCATAATACTGTGAAAATTAAGTAAGATGTCACATCAAATCAAAAGAACAGTGCTGGATACAAAAGGTGCTCAAGAAAGGAAATCATTTTAATAACCCTGACTCATTTTAATAACCTGACTAGGTCTGGGAGCCTCTGGTAGCCAAAGCCTTACCTCCAAATCTTCTTTCTTTTCCCTTTCCACCAACGGGCTCTGGTAAGGTCTCAAGGTTTCAGCCCACCACTCAGCATCAACCCGGCACTTGCGGGTTGCAGTCATCCAGGCTGGGTCATACCTCTGAGTAACATCTCGGACCCAGCCATTACTATCGATGCCCACAGCATAGGTCATGGGCTTGGTGGCATATTTATAACAGGTCAGAGGCTGACCCACCACCCCATGCACACAGTCTACACATATCCACTTTGCCTCCTGCTCACAGAAGACCTCCAACCACTGATCTACACCAATAGTTTTCCTTCCTTCAGCAATATCACCTTCGTTGGAAATTTTCTTGCCTCTCTTACTGCTCAAAGACCTTGAAGATACTGCTGAAAAGCCTGGCTGTTTATGGTGGCTTCCACTCTGGGTCCTGGAGTCGCTCTTGGACACAGCCTTTGTCCCCTGAGGAGCTGAAGCCCTCCTCTGCCTTGGAGGGCCAGATTCAGAATCTTCATCAGAAGAATGATGGGCTTCCCCACTGGAAAGTTCAAAGTCAGAGCCACTGCCAGTCTTCTCACTCCCACTTTCCTCTTTATAGGACACCCCGGAGGCCACCCGCCGCTCTCGGCCACTTAGACGTCTCTGAGTTTCCTTCCGCTGCTCCCTTGATCCTCCCAGATCTTCCTCACTGGAGGAGGACTCTCTCCATTTCTTGCTGCCTGTAGCTACCTTGCTTCTCTTCCCTTTGGCACTTGGTTTGCCAGTGCCCTTAGAAAAGGTTTCCTCTTGTTTGGTTCTCTTGCTGGTCTTTGGTTTGGTATGGTTTTCTGGAACTTGGCTGGAAGGTTCTGAGAAGCCTCCAAGACCCGCTGTGGACCTCTCCTTAGAAGGTTTCTTTGCCTGAAACACAGTAAGAAATTTTGCCTTTTTCTTCTTTTTTGCTAATGATATGAAGATCCTATAATTTAATAGAGTTGTGTCATTGGCTAGCAAGTTAGTATAGCAAGATGTCCCCAGATCAGACAGTCTCAACTGGCTACCCTGTACGCTTATATGTAAATATTAGCTAAAATCTGTGGCTTCTCAGGTAAGGCTACAATATTATTCTTTTCACTCTAACTATAAAGCAGAGGAAAGAGCATAGGATTTAGAAACAGACAAACCTGGGTTTGGATTTCAGCTCATTAAACTCTGAGTCACAGTTTCCTCAGCTATAAGAATATCTACCTTACACACAGGCATTTGGCAAACAAACACTTAGGAACTTAATACAGCTGCAGTTTCTAAGAATAAGGAAATTATTACAACCAACTTGTAGACCACCAGACTTCAAACAATGCCCATATCCCAAAGAGACAGCAATGATCCTCCTTCCCAGAGCACCTCAAGATTCAGAGTCCTTCACCTATCAGCACTCTAGACTGCTCATGAGATGTGGACACTCTACCCTGTTCACAGGACAGAAACTACAGCACCGCAGAGTCCAGACCTCTCACAGCACTCTGTGCACACCAAGATCAGGTGCCAGACTCCCACTCATGCATCCAATCTCCCCTAACATGGGCAGCACGGATGGGCTCAAAAAACCCAGGCTCCATGAATACCAACTCTTAAAATTATGATCATAACCAATCATTTTTCAAAAGATTGTTTCTTATTTCATACTTGGTTTTTTTAACACTAGACTAACATCTCCTTTTCTCTGGAAGCCCTGAGAAATTCACCTTTGCCATGGATGACTTCAGGGGAATTGGCTGTAGAGACACCACCAATCGGGTCAGCAGCTGTAGAGCCCGAAGAATCAGCAGAAATATCTAGGATGAAGAGGTAACATATTTGTCCTGAGACAATAATTAAGGGTTAATTAATTTAACGCAGTTTGTTGCTTGTTTATGACAGGAAAAGGTAGAAAAAAACCCAAATGTCTGACAATAGAACTCTGGAACTCTGACACTCTTAGAAATGATGTAGACATTTATCTTCATAGAAGTATGAGAAAATGTTCCCCATATGTTAAAAGAAACTTTAAAAAGAAATATGTGATTACATTTTTATAAGATAAAACTATTTATAAATATAAATGCAGACATGTCTGTCTTGAAAAGGATCCATATACTGGGTTATGGATGCTTACAGGATTTTTTTTCTGCTACCTATCCTCTTATTGCTTTGCATAGCACATGTTGCATTTGTGATTAAAAACAAAATTAAATGCCACTCTGAGAAGAAAAAGTAGAAAATACGGTCATCAAATCACATGTCTGTTTCCTGTTTACTACTTCCCCCACACTGGGTCTTTCAACGTGAGGCTACAGCTCTGAAAATTCTGTTGTCCTATAAGGATGGGAGCTTCCTCAGGAATGACCCTTCAAACAGCACAAGTGATAACCTACTCGAGCAAGTAGCCTCCCACAGACCTCCATGTCCCAGCAAATCACATTAATTGTTAGAAAGTCACAGGTGAAAGTCAGAAACCAGATGGCAGGTTTCTATCAGAAGCCATGTTATGATGGGAAAAAAAAAATTTTTACCTTTTTTCTTCTGGGGTTAAAAAAAAGTGTGAAATAAGAAATTACAAGATCTCAGTTGACAGAGGAAAAACAGCAATACCACTCTTGGGGATATACCCAAAAGACTGTGACACAGGTTACTCCAGAGGCACCTGCACATCCATGTTTATTGCGGCACTATTCACAATAGCCAAGTTATGGAAACAGCCAAGATGCCCCACCACTGACGAATGGATTAAGAAAATGTGGTATCTATACACAATGGAATTCTATGCAGCCATGAAGAAGAACGAAATGTTATCATTCGCTGGTAAATGGATGGAATTGGAGAACATCATTCTGAGTGAGGTTAGCCTGGCCCAAAAGACCAAAAATCATATGTTCTCCCTCATATGCGGACATTAGATCAAGGGTAAACACAACAAGGGGATTGGACTATGAGCACATGATAAAAGCTTTAGCACACAAGGGAGGGGTGAGGATAGGTAAGACACCTAAAAAATTAGCTAGCATTTGTTGCCCTTAACGCAGACAAACTAAAGCAGATACCTTAAAAGCAACTGAGGCCAATAGGAAAAGGGGACCAGGAACTAGAGAAAAGGTTAGATCAAGAAGAATTAACCTAGAAGGCAACACACACACACAGGAAATTAATGTGAGTCAACTCCCTGTATAGCTATCCTTATCTCAACCAGCAAAAACCCTTGTCCCTTCCTATTATGGCTTATACTCTCTCTACAACAAAATTAGAAATAAGGGCAAAATAGTTTCTGCTGGGTATTGAGGGGGTGGGGGAGAGGGAGGGGGCGGAGTGGGTGGTAAGGAAGGGGGTAGGGGCAGGGGGGAGAAATGACCCAAGCTTTGTATGCACATATGAATAATAAAATAATTAAAAAAAAAAAAAAATCTCAGTTGACAGAGGAAAAACATTTGACAAAATCCAACATGCTATCATGATAAAAAAAAAAAAAGAAAACATTCAGGAACTAGAAACAGAAGGGAACTTCCTTGACATGATAAAGAATATTTGTAAAAATCCACAGATAGCATGATAGTTAATGCTTTCTCCCCAAAGCTGAGTAACAAGGCAAAGATTCATGATCACTATGCAATACTGTACTTGAAGTCCTAGTTACAGCAAATAAGCAAAAGAAATAAAAGACACGTAAACTGGAAAGGAAGAATTAAAATTATTTCTGCTATTCACAGATGGCATGATTCTATATACAGAAGTCCCAAAGAAAGCTTAAGAAAGCTACTAAAGCCAGTAAACAAATTCAGCAACACTGCAGAGTATAAGATCAACACAAAAATCAATGGTCTAGGGGTGTTGCTCAGTGGTAGTACACAAGCTTGGCATATGTGAGGCTCTAGGTTCAATCGTTACCACAAAGGGAGGGAGGGAGGGAAGAAGGGAAAGGAGAAGGGGAATGAAGAGCAGCACTTCACAATAGCCAAAAGTTGGAAACAACCCAAGTATCCACAGATGGATGAATGAATAGTAGTCTATCATTAAAAGAAATAAAATACAAATGCAATGCAGCTGAACCTTAAAAACATTATACCAAATGAAAGACACAAAAGCCACAATTTGTATTTCTATTATAAGAATTACCCAGAGCAGGTACATATACAGAGACAGTAAGCAGGCTGGATGGTGGCTGCCATCCATGTTAGGCAGGAGTGGGGTGGGTAGTAAAGGGTGTCTGATGGGTATATACAGGGTTTTCCCCTGGGGCTGATACAACTGCTTGGGAACTAGAGATGGTGGTTGCACAACACTGTAAATATACTGAGCTGATCCCCTTTTTAAACACCTGTATGATCCCATTTGTGTTTTAAAAAAAATTCCAACAAACAAAACAAATATTAATGTATTACAGATACACAGGAATAAAATGTGGGAGAGCAATACAGAAATGGTAATGTTTCCTCTGATTGGTGGTGTTATAGCATTAATTGCTGGCTTTGTCAGATATCTTAGACTCTTTAAAGCCACATCTGAAGAGGCCTAAAGATGCCAATCTTTGGCCTCACAGACATAAAAATGTCTGATCTCTTTTTCCAAATACCCCAGGGATCTGAGGCTCCCAGATACAAATATATAGAGTGACACAAATCTTCCAGGGAAGAAATCATATTTTCATTACCATCAGTTAACAGTACTAACTAAACACTGCCACCAGGAGTCACTCACATGGACCAACTCTTCCTCATCTCGAGCAGAGTAAATAGCAAATCTCCTTTCCAACGTTGTCTGTAGGCTGTCTTGCTCATTGACTGAAAGGTCCACATTAACTGTAAATGTTCCAATGAACCTGGGGAGAAACCAAGCATTCCCAAGTGCAGTGGTCAGGGTGAAGGGAATTTCCATTTTTTTTTCAGCCAAGAAAATAAAAAACTCCACCTCTCTCTGTTCTCCTCTTCCCAGCCTGGCTAGCTAATTCCTACCATCACTGAAGACCCAACTCATATGGCACTTCCTTGGACAGCCTTCCCAAACTGCCCACCTGAGGTAAGTATCCATGTTCCAGGTGTCATAGTCCCTGGCACTTCTGTGCCAGAGCACATCTCACACTACCCTAAATTACCTGGTGTGAACTTGTCTCCCTGCCAGCCCAGGAGCTCCTCCATGGCCAGGATCATGTTGGTGTTCCCACTCTTCAAGGCGGTGACCCCTGTCTGGTGCATGCTTACCACCTCAGGGGGAGGTCTGAGGAAGTGACTGAACTCAATCCTCCACTCTGGCTCTGCAGGACAGGCAGAGGACCTTACCATTTCATGAGGTTCGAGAGGTAGCAGATGTCCACATCACGAGGTGGCACTTTGGTGAAGCGGGTTGGTATGATGGAGAGGCCAATAGCAAGCAGGTCTGGCTGGCTGCAGATGTTATTTCGATAGAAGCCATTTGCCAGCAGGCACAGCAAGTGAACCTATGGAAAGGGGGAAAGGAGGAAGGGCAGGCATGGAAAGAAGGCTGTAAGGAGCAGGGGTTTTGCTGCCACATTCAGCTATTTTGTGGGCAGGAAATATTTGTTGTCATTTTTATGTACCAAGAAGTAAAAAGATAAACATCAGCCATTTCTCAAGACTTTGTCCTTCATCCCATCTTCTCTCCATTACTCACTTCTTAAAAGAAAAGTCGCCAAAGATCAAAATACATACTTCTTGTTTTCAAGCAGTCTTGTCTTTTAAAGACATGTATGGCAGGATTTCTAGATGAAATGTATCTGGGGTTTGCTCCAACAAGACCAAGAGGAAAAGTGAATGCAAAAGATGAGCATGACCACTCAGGAGCTACTGACTAGAAGCTGGGTGCTGACTGCTCTCTACCTTTCCATGCATGTCTGAACCCATACTCTCCTGCTATGCATCCCACATCTCTGCCCTCCTCTGACCCCAACCCCACCCTTCACCAACCTACCATAATGATTATGTGACTATCTTTCTCTTTTCCCACGCAAAGCATTATATCATTTTCCATCAAAATCAGTCCCTCACTAATAGCCTATCTTAATTAATGGTACTGCCCCTCTTCCCTCACTAAAGCTACCAACCTTACAGTCGCTTTGATGTTCCTTTTACCTCCAGCACCCAGCAAGAGGTAGAAGGAACAAAGCTATCTCACTTAAGCTCGGGAAGGTGGATGTCACCCTCTCTAACTTCATCCAGTCTCCCCTCTAGACTTCTAAGGCAGTTGTGGACACAGGGTTTCTTCCATCCATCCTACATTTTCCCATCCCATCATCACCACCACCCTCTCTAGAAGCCCACTGTCCATCAGATGATATAAAAGCCTTCCTTCTCTCGCCACTGCTCTCTAACACACATACCCTGAACATAGGCAGGTGTGCTGGTGATCCCCAGGACCCCTCCACATCCTGGCTACAACAGTCTTCCTAATCTTTCACCCTTCTCCTAAATAAGGTTTTCCTGGGCTACTCAGACCCACGATGATCTCTTTCACTGTTCTGAGCACAGTCCTGAGTTTCTGTTTTGAAGTCTTTCTTGTTCCATGTGAGAGACTAAAAAACAAACTCCTTAATTATATGAAAGTAAGCTTTATAAAAGTTGAGTATTCCTTATCTGATATTCCTGGAACCAGTAGTGTTTCAGATTTGGGTTTTTACTTCTTTTTTTTGGCGGGGGTGGGATGGGGGTTTGAAATATTTGCATAGACCTTTACCAGCTGAGTATCTCTAATCCAAAATTTGAAATCCAAAGTGCTCCAAAATCCCAAACTTTTTGAATATTGATATGATGCTCACTCAAAAAAGTTTCGAAGTTAGGAGTATTTCAGATTTTGGGTTTTTGGATTAGAGTTGCCTAACCAATACAAGTCTCTATTCTCTAATGCCATATGAGGACCCTGTTGGGTCTGTATACATGTTCAATTAACTATCAGTTAAAATCAAAAGCCACAGTGACTCTAGCTGAGATTAGCACTAGGGTTATTCAATGGTTGAAAGAAGAGCTGGAAGGCAAGTACCAGTTATTCAGCCCCTGCTTCATGCCAGGCACTGTGCTACAAGCGACTTTACACAGAATGGTGCCTAATTCTCATCACCACACTCTGAAATAGGCAGTATCATTATTCCCACTCCAAAGTTTGAGTGAAACTCAAAGGCTCAGAGAGAATAAGAAACTTGCCCAGGTTATCTAGTGACTAACACAGCAAGAAAACAAGACTCAGCTTGACTAAGAAACAAAGATCTGTCCGCCCAAGAGGAGGGCCCTCTTTCCTGTCATTCCTTGCCCTTACCTTATGTGTGTGCTCATGGACTTCTCTGTTGAAACGCTTCACCATCCTCCGAAGATATGTCTCAAACTCCATTTTTATCTTTTCACTGCAACACACAGTGAAAAATCCAAAGCTGAAGTAGGAAACTGAGGCCAGACCCCAGTGACCCAAGTCACCTCATGCTCATCATGACATGTGAACCACTTGCCCTGCTTTCCTGCACAAGCAAATCTGCAAGCTGGCTACTTTCTGCCCCTTCTCACCTGCAAACCTGCACTCAGGACATTCTCCATGCCATCAACTACCCTCTACCAGCACCAAATCCTGCCTCACAAACAGGCCTTGGAGCCCACATCCTCCAGAAGTCTTTTGTCTGACCTCCCAACCTCCAACTCCTTCCTTAGTAACAACGCTGATGTCAGATTAATGCATAGACATTTATATGGCACTGCTCTAGGGCAAAATCTTCAAGAAAACTCGACACTTCTTGACTGACAGATCATCTCCCTCCTCTCTGCCTAACAATGTGCCCATCACATAGTGAACTCATTAACCACTCAACCACGTTTTGTGCTTCATTTTCCTAGACCATCAGAGGCTGCAGAGATACTAAGGATCCTGGGAAGGATAGGGACACCTTACCATAGGGCATCATCTCAATCTTGTAGTGGGAAGTGGAGGAGAAGCATGAGTGCTGAGTCAGGTCAGGTAAGAGGGATTTAGATGTTGGCTCATCTGCTTACTGGCTGAGTTCTGGAAAGTAACCTAAGCTCTGTGAGCCTCTAGGCTCCTCAATTGTAAGGAGGTAGGATAAGGGATAACCTACCTTCTCAGTCCTTGGCACACAGTAGTTCCTTTCTCTACCTCTTACCCCAGCCAGGATACAAAGGTGTCTCAATTTTATTGATTGATTGACTGCAGTACTGGGGTTTGAACTCAGAGCCTCGCACTTGCTAGGCAGGTACTCTACTGCTTGAGCCACACCCCAGCCCAAAAGGTTTCTCGTGCCAGTTCTCAAGGCATGCCCAAGGCTCTCTCATCTGAGGTTCCTGACCACTTTGATATTCAATTCGGCTCATCTATTTATTTCTCAAAAGTTTTCATTAAATGTACTTGTTGCCCATTATATAGACCAGGAAGCTAAAAGCAAGGGCCTAATCTTACCTTCTTTCTCTTGTTTTCGCCTGCTCTGGTGTTTCAATTTCTATCTCCACAGGCTCCACAGGCAGAACAGATGGAGAGAAGGATGAATTTTCTCCCATGTCACCCAGCACAGGCTCATTAAGTTCTATCAATAATAATTTTTTAAATCAATAATAATAATAATAATAATAGTTTATATATTGAACAAAAATGAAGTTCTGGGAAAGATGAAGTGAAGAACAGATGTGGAAACCACTATTCCTACAATTCAGTTACAGTCTAAGTGTTTTATATTTGTTTGTCTCATTTAACCTAACCCACATAACAATCAGGGACAGAATCTTCAGATAGGGAAACTAAAGCACAGAGATACACCTTCTGATGCTCGTGTATGTGTTTTGGCAAATACTTAAAGTCTTTAAAAAAAAAAAAAGAAGCCAGCACCTCCTATTCTACAGAGAATAACATGGGTCATGATTTGCTTTGCAGAGTTATGAGTTAGGTGTCTGCCTTCCACTCACAGTTAGAAACTTGAAAATGAAAGGAATGTATCTTTTCCAGTTCTTTATGCCCTCCATAGCTTGTAAACACTAGCTGAAATGAACTGAATTTGCTAGACTGGATCTAATTGTGAACCTCATTAGCAAAACCAATTTTAGAAGGAGGAAAGGAAAGGATATTGGGGGGTAAAGAGGACCAAAGTATGTTACATATACATACATACACCAAGACAGTACAATGAAACACATCACACACTGTTTGAAAAAGGCAGGGGAGAGAGGTAAATAATAAAGACAAGAGCAAACTTGTTCCAAGTACACCGTATGCATCTATGGAACTACCACAATGAAACCCCCTTGTCCTATCAATATATACTAATTTAAAATTAAAAATTTTAAAAGAGTCTAAAAAAAAAAAAAAAACCCAAAAAGTCTTTAAAGACATTCTGATGATCCTACATTTATAGGACCCTAAAGACTCCACCAAAAAAACCTCTTAGATCTGATACACTTTCACCAAAATAGCAGGATATAAAATCAACATACAAAAATCAGGAGCTTTTCCATATATCAGTAATAAACAGGCTGAGAAAGAAATTACAAAAACAATCTCATTCACAATAGCCTCAAAAAATGAAATACCTAGGAATAAAACTTACAAAGAGATGAAAGACCTCTACAATGAAAACTGTAAAACTTTGATGACAGAAATTGAAGAGGACTAGAAGACAGAAAGACATCCAGTGTTAATGAACCGCAGAATTAACACTGTGAAAATGGCTATATTATCAAAAGCAGCCTACATCAAATGCAATCCCATCAAAATTCCAGTCTTTTTTCACAGAAACAGAAACTCAATTCTAAAATTCTTATTGAAGCACAATATGCCCAAATAGCCAAAGCAATCCTGAGCAAAAAGAGCAATGCTGGAGGCACTGCAATAGCCGACTTCAAATTCTACTACAGAGCCATGGTAGCAACAGCAGCATGGTGCTGCCACGAAGACACGCGTGTAGATCAATGGGACAGATCCAGAAATAAGTCCACAAAGCTAGAGCCATTTGGTTTTTATCAAAGGTGCCAAAAACATATTTTGGAGAAAAGACAGCTTTTTTAGACTGATAACCAGAATATATAGGGAACTGAAAAACTAAATTCTCCCAAAACTAAGGAACCAATAAAGAAATGGGCAAGTGAACTACACAGAACTTTTTCAAAAGAAGAAATTCAAATGGCCAAAAAACACATGAAGAAATGCTCACCATCTCTAGCAATAAAGGAAATGCAAAGTAACACCACACTAAGATTCCACCTCACCCCTATTAGAATAGCCATCATCAGCAACACCACCAACAACAGGTGTTGTCGAGGATGCAGGGAAAAAGGAACCTCTTACACTGCTGGGTGGGAATGTAAACTAGTACAACCACTCTGGAAAAAAATTTGGAGGCTACTTAAAAAGCTAGACATTGATCTACCATTTGATCCAGCAATACCACTCTTGGGGATATACCCAAAAGACTGTTACTCCAGAGGCACCTGCACATCCATGTTTATTGCGGCACTATTCACAATAGCCAAGTTATGGAAACAGCCAAGATGCCCCACCACTGACAAATGGATTAAGAAAATGTGGTATCTATACACAATGGAATTTTATGCAGCCATGAAGAAGAACAAAATGTTATCATTTGCTGGTAAATGGATGGAATTGGAGAACATCATTCTGAGTGAGATTAGCCTGGCCCAAAAGACCAAAAATCTTATGTTCTCCCTCATATGCGGACATTAGATCAGGGCAAACACAACAAGGGGATTGAACTTTGATCAGAAGATAAAAGCAAGAGCCCACAAGAGAGATATGAGGATGGGTAAGACACCTAAAAAATTAGCTAGCATTTGTTGCCCTCAACGCAGAGAAACTAAAGCAGATACCTTAAAAGCAACTGAGGCCAATAGGAGAAGGGGACCAGGAACTAGAGAAAAGGTTAGATCAAAAAGAATTAACCTAGAAGGTAACACACATGCACAGGAAATTAATGTGAGTCAACACCCTGTATAGCTATCCTTAGCTCAACTAGCAAAAACCCTTGTTCCTTCCTATTATTGCTTATACTCTCTCTTCAACAAAATTAGAGATAAGGGCAAAATAGTTTCTGCTGGGTATCAAGGGCGTGGGGGGGGAGACGGAGGGGGCGGGGTGGGTGGTAAGGGAGGGAGTGGGGGCAGGGGGGAGAAATGACCCAAGCATTGTATGCACATATGTATAATAAAAAAAAAATTTTTAAAAAGACAGCTTCTTTAACAAATGGTGTTAGGAAAACAATATCCACATGTAGTAGACTGGAGCTAGACCCCTGGCTCTCACCCTATGCAAAAATTAATTCAAAATGGACCAAAAGCCAAATGTAAGGCCTAAAATTGTGAAGCTATTAGAGAAAACACAGGGAAGACCCTTGACAATATAGAGACAGGTGAGGCTTTATAAACAGGACTCCTATTCCTCAGGAAACAAAAGCAAGAGCTGACGGGACTGCATCAAATTAAAAATCTTTGGCATAGCAAAGAAAACAATTACCAGAGTCAAGAGACAAGTTACAGAACAGTAAAAAAATCTTTGCCAGCTATTCATCAGATAAAGGATTAATATCCAGAATACATAAAAGAGCTCCAAAAATTAAACAGCAAAAGAACAAACAAGCCAATAAATAAATGGGCAAATAAACTGACCAGAGTTCTCAGAAGAAAAAACACAAATGGCCAATGAATACATGAATAAAAGCATCTTTAGCCATAAAGGAAATGCAAATCAATGACACTGAGATTCCACATCACCCCAGTCAGAATGGCAATCATCAAAAAAACTTAATAGGTAATGCTTTGTTAGCAAGGATGTGGGAGGAAAAAGGAACCCTTACACACAATTGGTGGGGACGTAAATCAGGTCCAGCCACTGTGGAAATCAGTATGGAGGTTCCTCAAAAAACTAAAACTCAAACTACCCTGCAATTCTGCTACAACACTCCTGAGCATGTATCTGAAGAAATGAAAGTCAGAATGTAATAGAGATACCTGTACAACCATGTTTACAGCAGGACTATTCACAATAGCCAACCTGTGGAATCAATCTAGGTGTTCATCACCTGATGAATACGGTACATATACACAATGGAGTGTTATTCGGCCATGAAGGAGAATGAAAGAATACCATTTACAGAAAAATGGGTGGAACTGGAATTATCATGAGTTAAACGAAAAAAGCCAGAGTAAGACAAATGTCACATGTGGCTCACACCTATAATACTAGCTACTTGGGAAGCCGAAATCGGAAGGATCCCAGTTTGAGGCCAGACCAGGCAAAAAGGTTGTGAGACTCCATCTCAATCAATAGCTTGGCGCGGTGGCAGACACCTGTCATTCCAAGCTATGTGGGAGGCTGAGATCAGGAGGATCACAGTTCCAGGGGCCAGCCAGCCAGAGCAAAACATATCCTGAGACTCCATCTCAGTGGAAAAAGCTGAGTGTGGTGGCACACACCTGTCATCTCAGCTACGGTAGGAATTACAAAATAGCAGGATCAAAAATAACTGGAGCAAAAAGGGCTTGGAGGTATGGCTCAGGCAGTAGAGAACCTGCCTAGCAAGTGTGAAGCTCTGCGTTCAAACCCCAGCACACACACACACGCCGCCCCTTGCAAAAAAAGAAACAAATATGTTGTCTGTTGTCAGGATCTAGTTCTTAAAAAAAAAGACTGAGTATAAAACGAGGACTGTTTGAGAGTGGGAACCAATGGAAGGAGGGGAATGTAAAAGAGATGGTGAAAGTGGGAGTGAATATGATGGAAGTACTTCATACACATACACAAAAATAGAAAGAAAACATTAAAAACTGTTCAAAAAAGAGGCAGAGGGGATAATAATTACAGGGTGAATGTGACCAAAGTACATTATATCCCTGTAAGAAAATACTACAATAAAACCCCTTTGCATAATTAATATATACTAATAATAAGAAAAGATTAAAAAAGATCAAATCAAAAAATAAATAAAGCCATTCCTAGCCTAGAAGCCATGATGTACCACTGGCAACTAATGACGACATCCTAGTTTCTATATGCTGCCAGTCCTTACTAAAATAAACTGAGGCTTCTTAGAGTTTAGAAGAGGCTGGTTTCAGGTCCAGGGCAAGGAAAGTATAAGGTGAGTCTGGAACATCTTGCTGCCAAAATACAAAAACGATGTCAAAAATTAGGGCAGGGTGGCTCCTTCCTGTAATCCCAGCTACTCAGAAGGCAGAGATAAGGAGGATTGGGATTTGAGGCCAGTCTGGCCAAAAGTTATTGAGACCAGCACACACCTATGGTCCCAGTTAGGTGGAAGGCATTAAGTGGAAGGATTACGGCCCAGATAATCCTGGACAAGAATGCGAGGCCTACTTGAAAAATATCAAAAGCTAAAAGGGCTGGGGGTGTGGCTTGAGTGGAAGAGCCTAGCAAACAGGAGGCCCCGAGTTCAAACCCCAGAACCTCCAACTAACTAAAGAATGAGGCCATGTCACAAAGACACTAGAAGGACTGGACACAAAGTGCCTCCTGATGGACTCAGCAGCAGCTACAAAACATTACTTATTAAGTATTCTTGCCTAAAATTTTTAAAAGTTTAATCTAAGCTCAATCAAGTCTGAGGCATAATTGCCTGACTCAAATTTTAAACAACACCATGAGATGCTTGATTATTTATCTCATAAAACCAAGATATAAGACAGAAAGGAAGGAAGGGAGGAAGGGAAGGAAAGAAAACAATCCTCTAGAAACCCAGACAAGGGTGGTTCACGTGGGGTGCAGTGGTGCACTTCTGTAATCCCAGCACTGAAGAGGCTGAGGCAGGAGAATTACGAGTTCTGGACAAGCCTGGGCTACATAATGAAACCCTGTCTCAAAAAAGGACTGACGATGTAATTCAGTGGTAGAACACTTGCCTAGCATGTACAAGGACCTGTGCAATCCCTAGCACTGAAGAAAAAAGAAAGTTCTAAATTAAAAGAGACTTACAGAAACATAACAACCAAGGTTTATATTCATTCACTGGATCCTGCATTAGAAAAAAGAAAATGATACAGCTATAAACATGAAGTTATTTTTATAACAACTAGGGGTTTACTTTCATTTTCTTGGGTGTGATAATATTGTTTTGTCATGTAAGGAAAGTCTTAGAAAATGTATGCTACATATTTGGAAGTGAAGTGCCACTTATTTCCAAATGGCTCACAAGGTACACTTAGAAAGGTACACTCAATGTTACAGGCAGCATGGTAAAGTTAATGAACCCAGGCAAAGAATATGAATACTGCTTTTTAAATTTTTTTGCAGGTTTCAACATTTTCAAAATAAAATGCCAGGGAAAAATCATGCTTGACAGAAAGAAGTGGAGACCAGTTGGCAGAATTAGCTGCTACTTAGTTTGAGGATATGATGCCCCCATCCCTCCACCTACTACATTTGCAACTTTTGTTCCACAACAACCCTGAAGCCTAGACTGCACTGCTTAGTAAGGCCCAGCGTTTACAGTGTTAGCACTAAAAAAGGACTCACTTGAGAAGTGAAGACTTTGCTCACATAGTTGTGCAAGGGGCCAGGTTGGACTCTAGACCCAGGACCAACCAACTGTTTCCAAAGCCTGTGCTCTTTGTCCAAATGCTGTAGCTTCTCTACCTTTAACTGCTCCACTGACAGTCACTCTTCTTTGGTAACCTAGTCATGAATTTTTCCCTTTTTTTTTTCCTCAAGACCCAGAGGGTCACTGTGGCCTAGGCTAGCTTTGAACTCACTATGTAGCCCAGGATGGTCTGAAACTTGCAATCCTCTAGCCTCAGCCTCATAAGTACTGAGACTGCAGAGTTTTCTTTATATCAAAGGCAGTCCCTACTCCAACCTTATCTTTGGTCTTAGATTCAGAGAAAAGAACAGGATGACAGTATGTAATATGGCTCCAAACAGAGAACAAACAGAATCAAACAGTTCTAAAAACAAGGAAAGATGCTTCACCTTCAACCTCTTCCCAGTCATCTTCACTTTCTTCCTCTTCATCGTTGTCCTTGTCCAAAGCCACCTCTCTCTTTGGATGTTTTGTCTTCTTAGAGTCACCTGGAAAATCCCTGTCAAAGGACCCAGTACACGAGATGAAGAAGGCGCACACATCCTAGTGTCACATTCAGGCTAAATGGAATTTAAAAGACTCCTCCTTCTAGTTATGGGTTGTATGTAAAAATGATTGGTGAGGGCTAAGTCTCGTTTCCTCCATCAGCATGGGTCTGAAAATCTTATCAAGATGTGCCTGGAATGTCAGCCTAATTAGTTTTAGATGCGCTGTCAAAACAGAAGTCAGACATGGCGGTACATTTCTATAATCCCAGCTACTCTGGAGGATAAGCTTGAGGCAAGCCTGGACTATGTAGTGAGACCCTATCTCAAAAAACAAACAAACCTACAACCTATGGGAAGGAAAACAGCCATGCCTAGGAATGGTTAGGGAAATTTTAAAAGAAACTACAATAGTGAGTTTCAGAAGCAAAAATTATAGTTATCTGTGTGTACGCATACTGATTCTCCCGTGAACTACCTCACAAGAGTTTTCTGGCTTTAAGAAATATGGCATAGGAAAACTTAAATTGGTAGAACTCCAACTTCAAGCTAAGTGAGAATAGGCTCATTCACAGGTAAGACCGTACACATGGCCAACACTGCTATCTCAGCAATGACCCAAGGCTAAATGACGGCTAACGTATACTTCCACAAATTCATACATGTGTCTACAGGATTGAGTTATTTTCAGCTTACATACACTTTGACACTTGGTATCAGGTGAAAGTATCTAAGATTTTAGCACGCCATTTAAAATAATCCTCCGTTCTGAGCTAACATAGTATACACCACCTTTTGAGCCTACCACTTTTTTGGGGAGAGGGAGATGTAGTGGGGATTGAGCCAGGGCCTTATGCAACAATTTGTTTTCAAGACAGGGTCTCACTAAGTTTGCCTGGGCTAGCCTTGAGCTCACAATCCTCCTGCTTCTTCCTTCCAAGTAGGTGCCACCATGCCTGGCTAGCCTGCCACTTTTCTGTCAACATTGTGGCACCAGAACCTTCCCCTAAAGAAAAACAGCAGAGATGCTCATGTACTATGGGTTGGAACACAGCCCCTCTCAGGTGAGAAGGAAAGGAGAATCCAGAGCTCTTCTTGGCAGCAGCCTTTGTATGCATACTCCTAGAGATGGAATTCAGTAAGTGAGGGAAGAACTGGGAAGCAGTGAGCTCCACAACGTCTTTTTCTCTTTTTTCTTTGTGCTTGCTAGACAAGTGCTCTACCACTTAAGCCACTCCACCAGCCTATCAACAGCATTCTTCTCAAAGACTAAGGGGACAGGAGGAGAGATGAACTGTAATGGAAAAGCCGCACCTCCCCCAACCCTTTCCACTGCTTCCCTCTGCTGGACCACTAGCCCAAGTCAGGATTTGAGGTTCTGGAAAAGCCACTACAAGTGAGGATTTGTTTCAAAGAAAAAAGAAACACCTACCCCTCTGCTTTTCCTCTATCCATCCACCTCCCCACTTTTCTCAGGAGGCAGATAATCAACTGGTTCATTGTCTACCACATATTAGTATAAATGTTCATCCATACAAAAACACTTCCCATCTGCCAAACAGAAGGCCCAGGCCCAGTGTGAGGCCTATGAAAATAAACCACACATGGTCCCTATCACCCTAGCAAGCCTGGCTATGTAATATAGTCACAAACCATACTTACCCAGCAGACATGTTACACTCTTCAAAAACAATGCAAGACATCAGAAAAGGGGAAAGAATCAATGAAAAGTAGAGCAGATGGCTTCAGATATGTATCCACTCCAGGAGGATATAAAAAAACATGAACACAACTCAGAGGCAGCAAGGTACAAGAAGAGTAAGCCAAGTGAATTCTGACAAGTCCAGCTAGGCAGGAGTGTATACTTGCAGAGAGCAGTGTAAATGAAGCTGTTAGTGGCGGATAAATATCTTCTTTCTATCTGTCTGTGTCTGTCTGTCTGTCTATGTAGCTGAAAGAGCCGGGACCAAGAGTCAGAAGACCTGGGTTCTCCTCTTGGAATTACCATTACCTACCTGTGTAACCACGAATAATTCACTGTCTGTGAGCCATCACTGTGCTCATCTGAATAATGTGTTTCAGTTCTTACTCCCTGAGTTTAAAGATCCCTCCTTCTCTCTGGATCCCAGTAACAAGGGAAGACTGGGTCTTATCATCCACACTTCTCTGATAGAACAATCAACGCTGGGTTTGAAGCTTATTGCCATCTCACCTGAAATCTTCCCCATCACTGAGGGCTGCCTTCTTTACAACCTTGAGGTTTTCAGATCTAACAGTCATCTTGGCCACTTTCTTTTTTGCTGGATGCTCTGGATTGCTGCAGCCTCTCTTCCTCTTTCCTTGTGAACCTTTTGAGAGACAGCTCTTCTTTGGAGGTTTTGGTTTCTCATCTTCAGAGACATCTAGGCAATCACACAGAACAAAAAGTGAGGGGTAACATAGAAAGTGGAAGCAGTGCAACTTACAGGCAAAGTCATAAAACCACCTAGAACCTCTCTGAACCACATGGGTTACTGTTCACCATCCCATGACTAGCAACAGCTCTCAGCCTCCTTCCACCTGCCACCTAGTCTATGCTCACAGTAAAAACCATCTTTTTTTTAAAAAAGTGCTGGGTATCAAATCCAAAGCCTCATATGTCAGGCAAGAGCTCTACCAGTAAACTACACCCTTAGTCCCAGCCCATCCTCCTCTACAAACATTTTATTCTACTACTAAGACTAGAGAAACTACCACATAATATAAATAAAACCTAGCTTCCAAATCTTAGGTTTCAGCCAAGCCCCAGAGAGGAAATACCTGAATCCACGAATTAACACCCTGCCCATCGACAATCCACTCCTCTTAAGTAAAATGTTTTGAATTCATACACACATCCAAGGTTTTTCATGACCTTATTTTTACTAGTCTGTTTCTGCCTTTAACTAGACCAAACTCTGCTCAAAGCACACAATGCAGTGGAACCTTTCTAACCTATCCCAAATGGCACTCATACACCATCAACCTGAGCAAACTTAGGGTGTGAATAAGAATGTACAGGCCGTATCCCTTACCTGAAATGCTTGGGACTATTCACGTTCAGATAGTGAGTTTTTCAGGTTTTGAAATATCTGCATTGACTTTAAAATAAAAAACTTTTTGCCAAATTTCAGATTTCAGAGCATTTCAGATTTTGAATTTTAGGATTAGTGATGTTCAACCTGAAGTAATTAAAATACCTTTATTTTCTTGAAATAATTATTGTTTTCTGTTAAAGGGAAAATTTAAAATTCTTAAACTCTTGATTTCAGTTAAATTAGGGCATCTAAACATATAGCATGTTCATGTACTTACATTAACAAATTACGCTTAATTCATAAATAATATGACCAGAAAGGGTACTTTCCTGTTCTGCACATGGATTCTCACAAATGTCAAATCTTCCTTTGCCCTTCTATTACTCTCCTTCAATTAATTTTAGAAAATAAAAGACACTGTGGCTTTTATTAAAGTTCCAAAAGGGAAATGCGGTATTAACCTGAAATATCAAATTAATTCATTCCTTTCATTCGTGGTCTGTCCTGCCGACTCACTGGACAGGTGTTTATATTCCCCAAGAGTATGTTTTTGCATGGGGGAGGAGACTCTTCCTTTTGATCTAAATGAAATCATAATTTAGTTCAAATAAAGTTCATAGTAGAGGGGCATTTGTTTTTATGCTAGACAAATCACTGGTTCAGTTGTATCTTTTTAAAAATGTTTTATAAAAGGAATCGATGCATTCCCATGTTTTAAACATTATAGTACAATCACAAATTATGGAAACACTTTGAAACAAATTATTTCAAAATTAGGTATTGTGTACCTGGAAACAGATTTCTTATTCTAAGGCAGACGCTGCTTAAAAGTTTGACTTGACAGTTTGAGCACAGTGCTAACCAAAAAAAAAAAAAAAAAAAAAAATCAGGATTTCTGAATCTTACTATGATTTTAGTCTGTCAATAAGCAAAGATGCTAAATATTTCATTTTTACTAATTTAAAAACACAAGGAAGAGGCTACCTCAGCAGCATCACCAAATTCATTTGGTTGTTTAAAAGACACAACTATTATTTCTAGGATCTGGAGAGGTAGAAGAATTAAAGGGGGAAGAGGAACAAAACTGAATTATAAAGGTGTTCATAGTGCACTATTCATAATATTCATCTTTTCAAAAATATAAATATACACAGGATGTTCCAAAATCGAGAGCTATCTAACATGACTAACCAGCCCCCTTTGAGCTCAGTGTTACTTCAGAAGGGCAAGAATTACCACTGTTGCTTGCTTGCCTGCCCACTGAAATTTATTAAGAACATCTGGGGCTGGGAGCATGGCTCATGTGGTACAGTGCCTGCCTGGTAAGCCCAAAGTCCTGAGTTCAAACCCCAGAAACACGAAAAAAAAGAAAGAAAAAACGCTTCATACACCTTGTAGTGACATCTTGTGACATACAGCATGAAATTCAGACTCCTCAGCTTAATCTCCAAGCTAAGGGCCCTGCCCACTTCTGCCCCCTCTCTTCCTCCCACTCATGCCTTTCACTACTGCGTCCAGCCAAGGGGTCAAGTCCATTTCCTCAAGAGTCTTTAAGCTCAGAGTTCCCTCTGCCTAGAACACTTTCCCCGCATACCTCCCTGTGAATGGCTCAAAATTACATTTAGAAATTGGCTCAAAATGTCACCTCCTCACGGGGACCTTCCCTGACCACTGACTCTCATTCAGATGCCTCTTTCGCCATCCCCATGGCGGTTTTATTACAGCAACCTGCTTTACTTTCTCTACAACTCTATCAACATGGGAATTTGCTTTTCTTTAATTCTGTGTTGATCTTATCTACCTCCCTCCAAAGATCATCGGCATCAAGATAGCATGGCCCTTGCCTGCCTTGTTCACTACTATAATCCCCAGTACTAGAACAGTGCCTGGAAATAGTAGGTGCTCAATAAATATTTGGAGCAATTAATGAATTATATCAACGAAGGCATTAACACAGAGAAATATGAAGAATTCAGAGGTGTCTTCATAGCAACAAGGTGATAATGTGTAAGACTTATTTTCTTTGTTCCTGTCAAAAGCAGCCAAGACTCACCTCCATTTGCATGCACAGGATGCTGTCAAAATCTAAACAATACAAAAACTACCATGAACAGTCCCCAAATTACTGTCACCTACAGCCTAAATCACAATTGCTAGGTCTGTGTTCCTCCACTGACTATAACAAAGACTTAATGCTTCACATCCTGGAAGCTGCCCTGGAAACACACTGCTAGCTCCTCTAACTGGCAGAATGGACCAAAGCCTGGCTGCATTCTTTCCTACCTTTAGGATACATTGGATGAGCTAGTCAAACTGAGTTCCCAACATGGGATTATGCACAGATATGCTACCTCACTGAAAACTCACAACCACCCTGCAAGGTGGTATTATGGTTCACAGAGGAGGCTCAAAGGGCTAAATTATTTGTCCAAAATAACATTTGCGAACTGTACACAACTACTAAATGCTGGAGCTAAACAAAGCTGGCGCCCAGGTGAAGTATTAACCTAGGAGAAATGGTACCACATGGAAAGCATTTCTATCCCATTAAAACTAAGAATGTTTGAACCGCCACATATCCAGAACACAAACTGAGCACAATGCCAACTCCCTTCCATGGTCTGTGGTTGAAATAGTACCCATCCTTAAGAGCACAGATCAAACAACTGCACACATTCAGAGAGCATTTCCATTTCCCAATTTCCCGAATTGAACTTGATTACTTCTTTGGAGTTCTGGAAGATACAAAGGCTTGTAGCTTCTCCCATGATATTTAACGTGCTCTGCCTTAGATATTTTACATGCAAGTGCTATGTCAACCGACTCAACGTTCCTCCAAGATATCTCCCTCTCCAACATCATCTAACTGTTGTACACCACATAGCAGATACTCAAAAAAATGTTAACCAGACAGGTGCAGTGATACACACCTATAATCCTAGCACTTGGGAGGCTGATGAGGGGAATCGCTGTGAGTTCCAGGCCAGCCTAGGCTACATAGCAAGACCCTATCTCAAAAAAGAAAAAGAAAAAAGAAAAAAGTTATCTGAATGAGTAAAAAGAAACTCATAGTAAATCCTGGGTAAATCGCTTCCTAAGATTAGGAATTATTACTATTTGACTATTTCCTAATGGAGGATGAGTTTATAACCTGTACAGAACCTAGTGTCATAGGAGCCCTGTGGGTTACCTAATGTAATCGTCTACCTCATTATTTCAGAAGATCCAAATATCCCTTCTACAGCATCATGCATTTTGTATATGTTTAAAATGTTTTTTGAAGAATGCTGGGAGGGAAGCAGGAGGAGAACAAAATGAGATACAGAGAAAGAACAGACATGTTTTCATGAGGCTTAAATTCTAGATAGGCAATCATCACTGACTAAGAAAGAGGTTGGGAAGTCAACAACTGAGGTGCTACAGTAAAAGGTACCAGGGAAAGACCACCTTATACACGATGATCGTGGAGTGTTTGACTTAGACCAGAAGAAATTAGCCCCAGCAAGAGCCAAGGAAAAAAATTCTAGGTAAAAAGAACATCAAAGGCAAAGGTTCCACGTGAGAAATAACCTGACGTATTTGGGAAACCGAAAGGCCAGTAAGGAGGCTATCTAGCAAGGAAGAGTTGTAAGAGACAACAGGAGAGTTGAAGCAGCATCCGATCATGGAGGAGAACATAGACCATGCTAAGGGAGCCTAGAGAAAAGGCAAACCAAAGAGATTTGAAGTAGGACCAAGGCACACGATTTTTTAATCATTTGAGCTGCTGGGTGGAGAATTACTGCACAGCGATAAGGGAAGTCAGAAAAGAGACAGCTGCACTCATTCAACTGAAAGGTAACAACGATGACCTGGACGGGGGCTGTGGCCATGGAAACAGAGGACAGAGTTAGGTACAGTTCCGATGCTGAACTGGCTGGACTTGCTGACGAAATGGAAGTGTGCGTGTAAGGAAAAGATGGGGCTTTGCTTTAACAAGTGGATGAAGGGATCGTTCATTGAGACGCGAAAAACTGGTAACAGGATATGTTAAATGGGAAAATCGAGAGCTGTGCTTTGCCCATGGAAAAGTTAAGACGCCTAGGAGATATCCAGGTGGGGTTACGTTGAATCCGAGACCAGAATTCGGGATGAGGTTTAGCTTAAACTGTTATTCTGGAAGTCGGCACGCTACAGCACTGCATGTTGTGGTCCGTCCGTCTTCTGGGGACCCAAAACACCTGTGCTGCCTTTTCCCGTTTGGATCCCAACAGCTGCCAAGAGACTTTTCATCCTCGGGGCAACGGGCAAGCAGCAGCGCAGGGGAACTCGTGGCCAAGCAGCGGCTCAGGGAGCCTGGCTCCTGGCGCAGAGGACAAGAGCCCAGGGATGTCGGCGAGGCCTAGGCAGCGCCGGACGCCGCGGAAAAGCACAGCTCCGTCCCTCACCTCCACGGCGGCTCCCCGCCCGAGCCCCGGCCTCCGCCGCCCTCCTGCAGCGTCTCCCTGCAGAGCCCGGCCCGGCCTCGCTCTCACCCGCCTCCTTCTCCTCGGGCTTGGCCGTGCTCCTGCCCTTGGCCTTCGGGCCGCGCACTCCGCATCCCCGCGGCTTCCTGCCCGCCGGGCGCTTGCGAGCCATGCTGCCCGGGCAAGACTCCCTTGGTGTGTGACGCACCAGACCGAGGGAAATGGACCCAGCTACTCACTCTGACGAAGCTCCGCCCCAGCTCCAAAAGGCCAATGTAAGCTACCGGAAGCAAGAAGGGACCAAAACAGGCTTGTTTCTACTTCCGGCGCGCGGCGCCCTCTCGCTTCCGGAAGCGCGGCTTGCGCTCCTGTTCTCGCGAGAGGAGGGAAAGGGCGCAGGGTTTGAAGCATGGCGGACGACGTGGACCAAGTAAGTGTGTTCTAAGGGGCTTGCTTCAGAGCACCTGGCGGTCCTCAGCCTCCCTCGCGTACCGGAGCTGCTTTTTCAAGCCCACGGAAAAACGGCCTTTCGTGCCTCCTCCTGTGGGTCACCGCGGCCTTCCGGAACGCGCCCCCTCCTAATTTAATTTGACCCAGGGATCTTTGAGCCCGCCTGGCAAGTTATTCGTCACGCCTTTTTTTTTTTTTTTTTGAGTCTTAGCTTCATCTGCAGATGATGAAGATAAGACTTCTTCTCCACTCTGTAGAAGGGAGGTGCTTTTGCCTGCCCGCCTCCCGGAGCTGTCGAGATTCCAGTAGAAAAGGCGACAGTCCAATTAAGGAGTTATTGTCACTACTCCTGTCACGACAGCAGTTGCATACCCACTCAGCAAACACAGCTTGTACGCTTACACGCTGTTGCGAGCGCCAGGTACACTGGCACTGACGTCAGTGATCCCTTTCCTTATTTGGAACTTACGTTTTGGGGGAGGACAGATAAAAGTAGGTGTGGTTATGTGAGATACAGAAGAACTGTGACATGCTATGAAGGAAAGAAGAATGCTGTTCAGAATAACATGATTCTGCAGGCTGTTTCACCCACTCTTGCCTCTTCCTCAGTTGTCTCTGTGGATTAGGCCACAACTTCAACTTTCTACTGAAATCTCACTTGATCGAAGAGAATTCCCCTGGCCATCTACATAAAATAGCAGTCTGCTTACCCTGCTTTGACTTCATAGCATGTTAATTCTTTTTCATATTAAAATATGACCACTAGAATGCAAGCGCCATAAGAACGGGGATTTGTTCTGCTTACTCTTCTTAGACCTAAGAACCGTGCTGAAAGCACTCAAAAATATTTTTTGAGTGAATCAACCAAATGATCAAGGGAGGCATCTTTGAAAAGGCAGTATTTAAAGCTACAGGATGAAAAGGGTGCACAGTGGTTATCCTAGTCTGAGGTTTAAATAGCAGTAGAGTTTTCATGAGTACTTTTATAGTATCATGATTCTATGTTTGTATGCCTTTCTTCACATTAGAATAAGCTTGAGGGCAGGGACTGTAAATTCTGTATTATTATACTCCAGTGGTTGGTTATGTGGTCCTTAACAAACACCTGTTGAACTGAGGTGGAGGTACCAGTTGAAGTCAGGAAAATTTTTGTGTCTCTGGTCTAGCCCTTTGAAGCTGTAGAGCCTGTAACCTTCAGTAACCTTCCACTGGCCTCCTGTACTCACTGAAGAGCCTTGAATAATCGTTACCAACTCTTGATGACTGCAACCATTCCTTCCATGTATTTAACCACAGGTCATCCTAGCTCTGACCTCTGAAACCCATTTCCAACAGTTCTTTAATAGTAATGAGAACCATTTATAAGTATTTTCTGTTTGCCAGGTATTAGATCATTTATTCTTCTCAAGTTTCCTCAAGGAGAGTGGCTTTCTCATTTTACAAGTGCGGAATATTTTTCAAATGATTAGTGACACTTGAAATAAAGCTAAGGTGCCCATGACTGTCGCCTTATACCCTGAAATTGGGTCCAGTAGTTTGGATTTTGAGAGAACAAAGTGCAGTCATGATTATTTTGTTGTACAGCTTCTTTCTATGTATATGTTTTAGTCCTCACTTATATAGCAGTTAATGTACAAGAGGCATTGTATGTGTTCTAAGCCTTCGTGTATCACTTATGCCTCACAAGAACAGTATTAGGAACAAACTTGTTTCCCCCATTTTACAAATTAGAAGACTAAGGTACAGCAACTTGCCCATGTCACAGCATAGCAGTGATTCAAACATTGCACTATCTCTAGTGTTAAATTAGTGAGCCTGTTTCTATTGTCAGCAACAAACTACCAATACTGTAGAGGAGCCTCTGGATCTCATCAGACTCAGCCTGGATGAACGAATTTATGTGAAGATGAGAAATGACCGGGAGCTTCGAGGCAGATTACATGTAAGTAAATGTTCCGAATTACCTTGAATTCCTACCCTCAGGCCTTTGAAATGTAGAAATTGTCCAGTGTGAGAAAGTACTTTGAATTGTGGAAGAAAAGGAGGTGGAAAGTCATTGGTATTTCCATAAGTCAAATACAACTAATCTTTTTTTCATATTTTTATTATTTTTTCTCTTTAACAAGAATATGTCAACATAGAACATCTTCCCTTTCATTTTCTTTTCTGTTTTTTTATGAATAAATTTATTTGTCCTCCTTTTTGTTTGTTTAAGATACTGATATATTCATAAATATGTGTTTTGTTATATAAAAAAACTATAAACAACAGGCTAGGGATGTAGCTCAGTGGTAGAGCACTTGCCAAGCATGGACAGGGATCTGGGATCAATCACTAGCACCACCACCAAAAAAAAAAAAAAAAAAAAATTAAACAGCACAAAAATAGAGTAAAAGGTGAAATCCCATTTCCTCAATTGTTACCCACTGTTGAACACTGGGTTTATAGCATTCAGATCTTTTCTGTATATTTACACACACACACACACTTATGTCTGTATGCATCTAATTACAATACATACACCACCTATAAGAAAAATATTGGAGATCTTAATCAGGCGTGGTAGTGCGTGCAGTCAGGAGGCTGAGGCAGGAGGATCATGAATTTGAGACCAGCTTCAGCTGGTCCAAAAAAAGGGGGAGCCAGAGAACTCTTGCTATACATAGTTTTCAACACTTTTTCTCATAGTCATTGATTCTGCATCTGAATGAACCTCCTTTATTTTTTTTTTTTCATTTTTCTTTTATTATTCATATGTGCATACAAGGCTTGGTTCATTTCTCCCCCCTGCCCCCACCCCCTCCCTTACCACCCACTCCGCCCCCTCCCTCCCCCCCCCCCCGCCTCAATACTCAACAGAAACTATTTTGCCCTTATTTCTAATTTTGTTGTAGAGAGAGTATTAGCAATAATAGGAAGGAACAAGGGTTTTTGCTGGTTGAGATAAGGATAGCTATACAGGGCATTGACTCACATTGGTTTCCTGTGCATGTGTGTTACCTTCTAGGTTAATTCTTTTTGATCTCACCTTTTCTCTAGTTCCTGGTCCCCTTCTCCTATTGGCCTCAGTTGCTTTTAAGGTATCTGCTTTAGTTTCTCTACGTTAAGGGCAACAAATGCCAGCTAATTTTTTAGGTGTCTTACCTATCCTCACCCCTTCCTTGTGTGCTCTCGCTTTTATCATGTGCTCATAGTCCAATCCCCTTGTTGTGTTTGCCCTTGATCTAATGTCCACATATGAGGGAGAACATACGATTTTTGGTCTTTTGGGCCAGGCTAACCTCACTCAGAATGATGTTCTCCAAGTCCATCCATTTACCAGCGAATGATAACACTTCGTTCTTCTTCATGGCTGCATAAAATTCCATTGTGTATAGATACCACATTTTCTTAATCCATTCGTCAGTGCTGGGGCATCTTGGCTGTTTCCATAACTTGGCTATTGTGAATAGTGCCGCAATAAACATGGATGTGCAGGTGCCTCTGGAGTAACAGTCTTTTGGGTATATCCCCAAGAGTGAACCTCCTTTATTTATATCAAGGAGAATCTGGGCAGCAGCCTAATGATCACATAGGATTCTGTATGCAAAAGCACTGACATTTAGATTGCTCTTCATTTTTTGCAGGCATTTGTAAACATGTTTCTTTGTGCATACCTAGTTATTTCTATACATTTGATCCCTTGAAGTGACCCCATTTGTTCATAAGGAGTATACTGAAACTTTTGTCCCTCTCCAATCACTGTTACTTTCCTAAGTGTGTTGGGTTTTGTTTTTGGGGGGAGGAGGCAGTGTGGTACTGGAGATTGAACTCACTGCTTCATTCATGCTGGGCAAGTGCCCTACCACTGAGCTACACCCCTAACCTTTGATTTTAGTTTTTATTTTGAAACAGGGTCTTGCTAAGTTGCTCTGACTTGCCTCGAACTCATGATCCCTCAGCCTCCCAAGTGCCAAGATTACAGACATATGCCACCACCCCTGGCTTGTTATTTTTATTACTATTGTTCTACTCTAAACTGATTTAAAACTGCTAACATTTGATCTTTTTTTTTGTTTTTTTTTTTTTGCTGTACTGGGGCTTGAACTCAGGGCCTACACCTTGAGCCACTCCATCAGTCCCTTTTCATGATTGATTTTTTTGAGATAGGATCTCTCGAACTGTTTGCCTGGGCTGGTTTCAAACTGTGATCTTCCTTATCTCTGCCTCCTGAGTAGCTAGGATTACAGGAGTGAGCCAGCAGTGCCTGGCTTCGTTTAATCTTTATAGAACCCCAAGAGGATAGATACTAATTGTTCCCACTTTGCAGTTGAAGAAGCTTGGGCTCAGAAATGGGAAGTTCCTTGCTCAAGGCAACATAATCAGTATAGGGAGAACTAGAATATGAACCTAGGCAGGCTTACTTCAGCCCCACTCTTAAATACTATGGTTGCACCTCCCATGAAACCTGAAGATAACCTCTGGGGCTGGAAAGGCAATAGAGAAATGGGGACACAGTAATCTACAGTTAGCCTTACGGGGAGAGGAGCGCTGCAAAATGCAACAGTGATGCTTTGAGGTAAAAAAAATAGAACTGAACTTAATTACATGCACACACCCCAGGACACTCATGTTACCCCTGACTCTTAGAGGATTCTTCAGCTCTCCATGCACTCTATTGCCTCTATACTAAGTGACCCTATACTCCCTGCCTAGCAGTTCCCTATGTGACTTGTGACTGATAGTCTATTTTTGTCTCGCATGTGGGCAAACCGTGTAACACTTTGTTAGAAATAAATGTCAGTGGTTTCTGAGCAAGGCCCCAGGAAGTTCTACCGTACAGGTGGAACTAGTCTGATAAGTGAAGAATTTGCTTAAAAAAGAACTTCAGTTTATTTTGAGTAAATCATTTTTGGTCATAAAGTTATACTTTTATCACGCCAATTAAGTTGTCACTGAAAATTATTTGTATACTAGCACAGCAGGATTTTTTACTTGCACGTATCAGTTTGTGGTATAAGTGTTAAATGTAGTTACTTGTAATTGAGTCATTTTCATATTGTAAACCCTGTTCATTGTTTCTCAATTAAATATTTTGATTCCTCATCCTCCCACTTCAGGCTTATGACCAACATTTAAATATGATCCTGGGAGATGTGGAAGAAACTGTGACCACTATAGAAATTGATGAAGAGACATATGAAGAGATATATAAAGTAAGTCATGACTTTTATTCATCACTTGGAAAATGTCAGTTGTTTTCAGTGTGTGACAGCTAACACATATTTATGGGAAGCCTGCCATGTTTTAAAACCTACTTGTGTACAAGTAGCAATTAACAGCAAGGGCTTTACAATCAAACATACCAGTACTGACTTGGCCACTTCCTACGTGGACTCCCTTGAGCCAGAGAACTAGCTTTGTAGACTCTCTCTGGTACACAGGAATACCTCCATTTATCCAGAGGCACCAGATTCAGTGAGACGTGACAGTGCTAGGTACCTGTGTGTGCTGGTGTATGACATTAATACACGATGATAGTGTTTCACGTTATATGGATTTGTTCTATCAGTACTGAGTGTATTAGAAACCAAAACTGAGAAATCTAGAAAATATTAATTCATTTAGAAGTATAAACCTATCACTTTGTTAATGTTAAGTAAGTTGTTTTTTCTTGGTGTTTTGGGTTTTTTGTTTTATTTTGTTTATTGCTGTTACACTGTTTTGTTTTTTGAGACAGAGCCCCAAACTTGCTAAGTAGCCCAGGCTGGCCTTAAACTCAACATCCTCTTGCCTCATCCTCTGAGTGTTGTATTGTAGACATGATTCACACACCCAGCTAAGAAGTAACAGTTTTATAAATGATAACTGTTAATTTTCTAAAACAAAATACTTAGACATGTATTTGTTTTGTATATTAGCAAATCTCTGTTGCCTGGTTTAATTGATGACAACCAGATTCACACATTTTTTTTCCTGCATTTAATCTGTTATATATATATTGTTGTAGTTGAAGAAAATCATCTAGCCACAAAGACCGGTAGCTGGGAGAGGGAAGAGCATGTTTTGTGGATACTTGCTTTTGATAGTATACCCACACTCAACAAGTAGTAGTTTCCTGAAGGTTAGTTGCACTGAGGTATGTGGACTCATGCCAGTGAACTTTTTATATTCTTACTTCAAATGGCCCTCTTACTCATGCACATTTTGCTAACAGCAGGCACTGGCCATTAGTTCAGTGAATTATGCACATCTTCCAAGTAATGACACATTCTAATCGTTAACTCTTTAACAATCACATTTGTTAATATCACCAATGATCTCATCAGAAAAGTCTTTTTATGTATTGTCAGGCCCGTCTCCAACTCTGATATACCGTAGTGACTAAATGTGGGCTTAGATTTCAGGACTGCCTGAGTTCAAAGCTTGACCCCCTGCTCACCACCTATATATGTATAATTGAGTCAATTTACCTAACCTGTCTGTAGCAGAGTTTCCTTGTTTGTAAAATAGGTGTGATAACAGTACCTGCTTCATACGGCTCTCGCAGATTCATTGAGAGGTTACATGAGAAGCTTCAGATTAGTGACAGGTACCTAGTGAACATCAGCCCTGTCCTGGTTTCTTTCTCTCTCTGACCATTCCTGGTTCCTTTGCCAGCATTCTTTCTCTCTCTGAGAGTGGACATTTGACTTTCTTTTTTCCAGTCAGAGGTGTCATTTAATAACTTTTGTTTTTGTAGACTTTTTTACCTTTAACATGGATACAGTTATAATGTACCAATTCTAAAATGTACTTTCTTTTTCTTGTATTTTAACATCTCTAAATTTTGGTTGCTTCTTATAGCTGAAATGTTAAGAAAAAAGTGTGTGTTTAATTGGCATCATTTCCCCCTTTTTATCTAAACCAAAGCTTCAAATGATTTCTTATATATGATGAAATATGGAATATGCAGTTTTACATGCTGCTTTTTTCATGTAACATTATTAACGTAAAAATTTCACCATAGAATACATTTTTTGGTAGTGCTAGGCTTTACACTCAGGGCTTTGTGCTTGATAAGCAAGTGCTTTCCCACTTGATTCATGCCTCCAGCCCTTTTTCCTTTAGTTATTTTTCAAGTAGAGTTTTGGCATTTTTTGCCCAGGCTGGCCTGGATGATCCTCCTACTTACACCTCCCAAGTAAGTGGGATGACAGGCCTGTACCACCATGCCTGGCTTTTTTGTTGCGATGGGGTCTTATCTTGCTAACTTTTGACCCAAGCTCACCTCAAACCACTAGCCTTCTAATCTCCACCTCCTGAGTAGCCACTGTTCTTGGCCCAGAAATAGAATCTTTATAAACATTTAAATGCTCTCACTGTGACATAATTGACTCATCAGTCATGGTGTCCATTCTTAGGGGACACCTGCTAAGAGCAGGATTCCTCCTGACACTGATGAAGATGTTGAGCACATGTGCATTTCTCTAGGGAGAGTGCCTGTCACAGTCTCAGTAGTCACTGGCCTCCATATAGATTACCAGCTGCTGTCCCCGAAGGCTACCACGGTTGTCTGGCTAGCATATGTGACCTCTCTTGCCTCCAGAGTTGCAGATGCAGAACATTAAGTAAAACCTCTTTAATCAGTGAGATGTTTTCTACATTGCCATGATTTACTGGGTAAAATGGTAAACCACTGGATGGTAGAAAATACTTTTCTCATTTTATCTATAAAGAAAAAAAAACTATCTTCTCTGCAAAGTGTATCATGGCTGCTTTCTGTACAGGAAGGCCTGTCTACTTGTACAAGCAACCTTATTGGGCTGGTGTAATGGCTTAGGCGGCAAATCTCCTGCCTAGCAAGCAGGAGGCCCTGAGTTCAAAACCCCAATCCTGCCAAAAAAAAAAAAAAGAGAAGCCAAGCAAGCAACCTTATCTTGTAGGCTCTTAGATGTAAACAATAGCTTCTCGTTGCAGTGTGATGTGTTACCAATAGGCAGAGAAAGGGCAGATGGCAATATCATGGGGAGTATCCACCGTCAGTGTCACTCAGAACCATGAACAACTACTGCTTTGCCTTCCTATACTCTATTTCCATCTAAGATGGGGCAGGCTCTGCTTTCTCACCTTGCCCGCTGTATTGTTCTCTTTACTCTGTTGAACTAACTAATGAACATCAACATTACCAAAACAGGGAACCCACAGACTATAGATCGTTTTGGAGTTTTTTTCCTGTAACTTACATAATTAATTTCTGAATGATTTGGTTGATTACTGATTTGCTAATAGGAAGGAGAAAGCAGTCAGCCTGCTCTTTGGCGCTTGTTCCCCCACAATTGGAATGCCCATTTTGTAGACTGCTAAAGGTCTGTATTATTTGGCCCCAGCCTAGTTTTTTAGCCATCCACTTTCCTTCACCAAATGCTTCATGGTTTGGTGGCTCACCACTTGGTTTCTCTTGGGAATGTGGGGCCCTCTTGTAACTGAGCCATCTTGCCCCCTCTGCCTAGAGCACCCCCTCAGCTTAATCAAAGCTTTTTAAAATACTTCCATAGTTTGGAGTGTAAAAGCAACTGGCTTTTCTCACCCTATGAATCCTGTTTCTTTTCATCTGTGCTTTAAAACCAGTCAGTCCTTGCCTGAGCTCATCTCTTTCTTGTACTTCCCTGCTGAACACATCCAGTTAACAGCAACACCTACTAACATTTGGTTTTTTTCAATATTTTCCCCCAGTGTCTATAAATCTGGGAGGCCTTTGGGCTGCTTTCCAAGATTTACCTAACATTTTGCCAAGACATAATAGGGATCTCAAACATGCCATAAAACTGTTTACAGTATGACCAGTAAGCTACAGCCTTGAGATATGCATTCCATATTTGGACCTCCAAGAGCATATAGAAACAACTATAATGCCTGAACACAGTGGAAGCTTATTTCCTGCCCTCTTGGCAGTCCATAACAGGGTTGTCAGTCTACACAATAGCTTGATTTCAGGTGGTAAGTCAGGGACCCAGGCCTTTTATTGGTGACTCTGCTGTCCCGAGTTCTCAGTGTTATCAGTCCATCCAATGGTAGAAGAATGGCTACAAATGGCTACTCATGGATAGTTTATGAGTTAGTCTGGATGAGGCTCTTTTCACTTCCCAGTGGTTAAAACTCAGTCCTATAGATTGCAATGCTGGTTACAAGGGAGCATGGGAAATGTAGTCTAGCTGTGTGCCCATGAAGAGTAGAATGGGTTTCAGTGAGTAGCACCACCAGTCTCTGCCATAATTGTCAATATCCAAGAAAAAGAAAACTGAATAGATTGTTTCTTTGTGCTACAAAGATAAGAAAAGCTTTTTTCTTATTATTAGTATCATACATTAACAAGACAAGGGGATTTCACTGTGATAATTCCATACATGTGTATAGTTTACCTTGAAGAAGTTCACCCCTCCATTTTATTTCCATTCTCCCTCTTCTTTTTCAGTGTTTGGTGGGTTTCATTATGCTGTCTTCATATGTATATAAGTACCATACTTGTGATCAGGGTTTTTTTTTTAATCCAGTTTTTTGTGTTATGATGAATCCATCTTAAATTTTTCTGTACAAAAAATAAATAATACATGTATTCGTATAAATGTGTTTTGATTTTTCTCTTTCTTTTCCAGTCAACAAAACGGAATATTCCAATGCTCTTTGTCCGGGGAGATGGTGTTGTACTTGTTGCCCCTCCGCTGAGAGTTGGCTGAAACAAAGAGTCTATCCTGTGTAGGAAATAGGACACTTTGTACAGTTGCCTCTTTAAATGTACAAAACATTCAAAGAGAGAAGCCTGCATACATTTTGATATTAAGAAATGACCCAAGGATTCTTCCACCCCTGAAATGAGTTGATTTGCAAATAACTTACAACTTCTTCAGCTAAATGGCATTTGTATTTTTCTTCAACACTTCCAATAAATGTGACTACCAAGATGTTGAACTCTTTCAGGATTTGGTTTGCTCCATTGTTCTTGCAGACAATTTCTGATTAGTTTCCTTTCACTTAAATTTGATGTTTCCTTTTTTATTTTTATTTTTTTTTAATGCAGTCTCCTATCTTGTGATTTCTTCAGGCGTCTGTCTGACATTCACTTAATCCACCTTTACTGAGAAGATGTATGAGGCACCAAGTTGAGTATCAGGAATTACTTTTGTCAGTGTGATTCCTAGTGTTCTTTCAGGACAGTGAAGCCAGTGCTGATGGAGCAGTGCATACATAGGATGCCATAATACTCAGGGAAGAGTACCCAGATAAGAATGGGACAGGGCAAAGGGAGCATATGGTTGTGAAGGTTAACATTTCAATAGAACAAAAAACACAGTGTCTGCTGCCAATGCTGCACTGATTTCATGACTGAAGAACCATTCTCCACTCTTGGATCACAGGCCCTCAAAAACAGGCATCTAAAACAAGAGTCAGTAGAATGTGGCTAAAATCAAAGCTATTTCAATTTTGGCTTCAATCAGTGCTTCATGCTTGAAAGAAAAGAGGAGAGTATATACAAGTTACATCTATAAAGCTTTATCAAGACAGGACTTAGAACCTGACACCCTCCACTAAGTAGGTTGTTGCATTCTGCAGTGTAGAAAATCTGCTTTGTGGAGGACTTGTCTGTGACTGTGCTAAATGCATGTTTGTTAATCCATTATCAAGCACATGTTTACATAGGCACAATGTTTGTGCAAGAAAGAATCTTTAAGTGTATGTCATTTAAAAAAAAAAAAAGGTTTTGTTTTCATTAAGTATTGTACCTGTCTCCACAAGTTAATGGAGAAGAGAAAAACAAATGTGGGTGAGTCGATGGAGGTTTTATCTTGTGTACATAGGCAGGGAAGACCCCCTCCTTTCACTCCGGCCACCCCCACGCATCCTTAAGCTTTAGTGGTCCCAGGAGGTTAGCTGCTTGGAACAACCTGTTCACTGTAGAAAAAAGTGGGACTTTCAATTGTGGAAGTAGCAGGTGGCTATTCCTTTCTGAGGAGAGTGCTTGCCTAAGTGGTAATGGTGGTGACTCATGGTAATCGCCATAATTCCTTGAACATCATGCCTCAGGCAAAGGCTCCTTACTGTATGTGGCAGCAGGATGTGACCCTGCCTGACTCCTACCTGTGAGCATGTGGAGGCTGCAGCTCTCTGGGTAGTAAATCAGCTCCCAGTGTGCACCACACCATGACATGATGGACCACCTGGCTCTCTTCTGCCCCACGCTGCAGTTCTCTCCAGGATTGCACATACTCACTGGTTTGTGATAGTCATGTTAATTCCTGGACATTCTCTACTCTGTCCTTTGGTGTTTTTCTCCTTTTCCTCTTGGAACTGACAGATTATGCTAGAACTTTTGGCTGTGAAGACTTGTTTATACGTATTTCCAAAATTCTAGGAACCTCAAAATCTGGCATAGCTACCTTCTCACACACACACACACAAATCTTAACTGCAGGATGAACACATTTACTCATCTAGCTGCCAAGATACAGGAATAGAGACAATAATAGACTAGAATAACCATCTGTGTCACCAAGTAGAAGAAGAGGAGGTGGTAGGAGTTTGGGAGCCTTTTCAGAGCTGGAACTCTGCACTGCTGGGCCATCTCAAGAAGGACTCTGCCCTTCATCAAGGTTACCTCTACAAGTCTGCAGGGGTGTTCTCTTGGGATTATGTGTCTGATAGCCCCTAAAAGCCATGCCTTGGACTTCTGAGGCCACACAGCACTCAGTTCTGGCCACCAGCTAGATGGCCCATGGTCATTGGAGCTGGTGACTTGTGGTTTCTGCAACTTGGTGTCACAGCTCACAAGGAGCCTCCTGACAGTCTTTCCTTTGGAAGCCTCACCAGCAGATACCACACCTGAGTCCTTGTCTTGATGGTTTCATGAAAGACAAATTGTCATTGCCTCCCACAAAGACAAAATGTAGATCCATTTCTGAAACCCAGATAACTTGAGTATCCAAGTAAATCTAAAATCATTAGCTATAAATAGATGGTTTCAAAGAGTGAATTTTGAAGAACTGCCCCAAACTAGGGGTGTCATCCTTCTGGACACTTAAGAGTCAGACACTGACTTCACACACCCTTTTATAATACTTAGCTACTGTTCACATTGCTCTTAGCTGCCACTAGGACAGGAATACTTCATTGAGCGAACAGTTGCCAGCTGTGAGTAATGTTCACCTGGGTTGAACATGGGAAATTACTGACAAGCATCATTCTGGCTGGAGCAAGAAGCACAATGGATGTTTGTCACTCAGCTCTGCTGAACTCTGTTCTCATTCTTGGGCAGAGACTTCCAACCTCCCTGCCTGCCAGCCACGGTGGTCTCATTCTATTTGATTGGTTCATGTACCCATACACAGGCTAGTCATTCCAGCCATGAGAATGAAAGGCTCTAATTGGCCAGGCCTGAGTCACATGCCCATCTCTGGAACTAAGCAGGATGTTCACCTCTGCTAGTGGACAGGGGTATTCTATAGAAAACCAAAGGCAAGGCGGAGAGGGGGTTCGGAGACAATTCCTATTAGCCAGGAATCCCTCTTAAGGCTGCTCTAAATTATTGAAAGTCCTTTAGGACTTTACTATTAGTAACGAGTTTCTTACGACACACCTCAAGAGTGGACCTAGTAGGCTCTTGAGCACCCTAAGGGGGAGTCAGGGTGGGTGGAACCCAGGCTTGTTCAATGGCTGGCCCTGATGGCAACCAGAGTCCCCTAGGTGGAGGGCCTGCAACACAAGGCAGATGTTAGACTGGGAGTAGGTACTGGGGGTCCTCAGAGCTTCTGCGAGGGCAGAATAAAGTGACTTAAATAGAATACTTAAATAGAGTAACTTGAAGAACACTGAGCCTCAGCAGACCAGTTGCTGCTTACCTGCAGGGACCATATTCACAGCCCTGACACAGGACCTGGCCAGGAGTTTGTCCTCAATCCATGCTCAGTGAGTGAAGAAGACTAAATGACAAGAGCAGGAACAGAGTACTTTGTGGTCAGCATTGTGAGCAAAGGGTACTTTCAGATTAAGGTGAACTGTGCACCTTGTTTTCCAAACACTGGTGTCCTCTCCACAGCTGGACATCGCTTCCCCCTCTCACCCTTCAGCCATCTTGCCTGTCACCTTATGTCTGAGAATGTAAGTAGATGCCAGCTGCAGGTACCTAACAAGGCATCAATTCACATGGAAAACTAACAAGAAATGAAGAAGACAAAGCCAAATGTTTTAAATTCCTGCCAGATCCATTGCTCAATTTTAATAAACCAGAGCATGTAGATTCTTATTTTCTTGGCTACTGCTAAAAGTTTTGTGGGTGTGAAAGCAGCATGCCCCCTGCAGCTTATGATACTGATCACCCTGGAGGAATTTTTCTTGGTTCTCCTCCCACTCACATCCTGTGCTATGGGAATGTAAGCTCAGGTGTTGACAGGAGTCACTGAGTTGCCCTTCATGGGTTGGAAAAGTGACCATAGAGGATGGTGCAGTGTGATGGAGCCAGAAAAACATGGCTTCAGATTCAACTGTGCAATTGCCAGCTGGGAGAATGACCTGCTCTAAGGTCGGTTATAAGACTAAAATGTATCTGTGGGCTGCCTGGGACCGGACTGGAATGTTACTGACTCATCACAGTCCCCAGGTCGGAAGGCACAGAGTTGAAGCAGCAGTGGGAGACCCCTGAAGTTGTCTGAGGTCATTCTGTCATCTGACTTCATCCAATTACCACCACTATTTTTCCCTCAGGGTAATTTTCAGGAGAATCATGGCTTTGAAATATTTTGATTCATTCAATTAAAAATGACTACCAAATGCAGGAACTATCAGTAGAGGATTGAATGCAAAACAGAACAGTTTTCCTGGTCAAAAGCAGGCTAACAGGCTGGAGAGGAGTGAGCTAGGGAAGGCAGTGGGACATGGTGGGGGTTACTGAGAACCGGAGGTCTGAGTCACTCAGAACCTTCACAGACGAGCATGCAAAGCCCAGGGGAGTGAAAGAGACTTGTCAAGGCCACAGTGAGAAACTAATTGAGCTCTACAACAGAAGTTAGGACCATTGTGGGTTCACCTCCAGCAGGGGCTGTTCATACCATCACATCACAGACCCTAGGCCATGTGTGATGTGTGGATTTAGGGGCTGCAGGGTCCCCCTCCAATTGCATGCCACCATCTCACCTTCCTTTCTCTTTCTGAAGGAAGGAGTCTTCCTTCTGAGTTAACAGTTACCATTTGGGCCAAATGCTAGCCAGTCTTCCATGCTCACGCTGGGGCAAATGAATGATTTCCTCCCTCGCTGGGCCTGTAAAAACAGCAGAGTTGGGAATCAAACCCACCAGACTCTGCTCTATCACCCACATAATTTGTAAATTTTGGCAAGCGTCTCACCCTTTCTGGGTATACCTGCTCACATGAAGGGATTCTCATCAAGGTGAATTCACCTCTAAAGGGCTTGTGTTAATGCCCCTAAGAGAGCTCACCTTACTTACATGCCTTATTTTTCTCAATAAAATGCATTTTTAACTGGTATACAGAAACAAAAATTGGAGCCAGGTGTGGTGGTACATGCCTGTAATCCAGCACTCATGAGACTAAGACATTAATATCATGAGTTTGAGGCTGGTGTAGGCTACATGGTGAGATGCCGTCTCAAAAAAACAAAAACAGATGGGCAATCTCTACTCAGGAGGCAGAGATGGGGAGATCATGATTTGAGGCCAGTTACCACAAAAAGTTAGCTAGATCCCAACTCAGTAAGTGTGTTGGTACATACCTTGTCACCCCAGCTACATGGAGGGCATAAATAGATCACAGTCCAGGCCCACCCAGTGACAAAAACATGAGAACCTATTCAAAAAATAACTAAAGCAAAAAGACTTGGGACATGACTCAAGTGGTAGAGCCTAGCAAGCACAAGACCCTGAGTTCAAACCTCAGTCCCACCAAAAAATATATCTATATATATTGATAT